TTTGGCATATCGGTGTGCCGCCCTCCGGCCCAATGGATTCCTACTCGTTTCGTCTCGCCAACAAAATAGTCGGCAATGATGACCATGCCGCGGGACTCGAGTGCTCGATTCAAGGTCCGACGCTTCTGTTCCATTCCCCAACCACTGTTGCTGTCGTTGGTGCTAATTCCCCTATATCTGTCGACGGGGAAGAAAAGGAGCCTGGCATTGCCATCAGTATCCAAGCTGGACAGAAACTTTCCATTGGCACAGCTAACAATGGCTCCCGAGTTTATCTTGCCGTTCAAGGCGGTATTCAGGTCCCTGAAGTCTTAAGCAGCCGCTCGACATTTGCAATCGGTCACCTCGGAGGACATAATGGACGCAGCCTTTGCATTGGTGATCTTCTCCCATTAGCACCTGTTACAGAAAAGGAACTTCCATTGCTTAGGTCACCAATTTTTTCCCTACCGATACCTGAGAACCGAGAATGGGTCGTTGGCGCTATCCCTGGGCCACACGGTAGTCCGACTCATTTCACACAGGATGGGCTCCAGGAACTGTTCAATGGCGAATGGACTGCCCACTACAATAGCAATCGGGTCGGAGTCCGTCTTACCGGGCCCCGTCCAGAGTGGTCACGGCAAACAGGGGGTGATGCTGGCCTGCATCCCTCCAACATCCACGATAGTCCTTATTCAATCGGGAATGTGAGCTTTACAGGCGACGAGGCAGTTGTCCTGACAGCAGATGGGCCAAGCCTGGGAGGCTTTGTCACATTTGCCACCGTCGCAGAGGCCGAGATGTGGAAGTTTGGTCAGATGCGGCCAGGGGATCGCCTTCGGTTTCATCCTATTTCTCTTGATGACGCGCGGACGCTTGCGAAGGCCCTCGAGCATTCAATCGCCACTCTCAGCCCGCTGACCAGTGGGAACTTGAGACAAACAAGCTCTGTCGCTGTCTTTAGTCCGATCGTAAAGGAAATCTCCGAGGCTGGCCGCTTCATTCGATGCTGCCAAGCAGGCGATCGAGCCTTGTTGCTCAACTTCGGCAACGAAGATAACTTCACACTACGGCAAACATTTCACATCATGAGGTTCATTGAGATGCACCGAATTTCTCCAATTCCAGGCGTCGAGGAGCTCACATCAGGCGTCCGAAGCCTCCATATCCGCATGAAAGCAAACTTCCTACTGCCTCAAGTCCTTGATGCGCTGGTCGCGCATGAGATTTCTCTTGGAACACAGCTTCCCTCCCGACTACCCTCGCGCATCGTGCATATGCCTCTCGTTTTCAACGATGAGAGGAGCCGCAAAGCCATTGCCCGCTATACTTCGACTATTCGTTCCACAGCACCGTACCTACCTAGTAACATTGAATTCTTGCAGAAACTGAATGGACTTGACAGTGCCGATCGGGTGGAGAGTAATCTCTATGAAGGCGCATTCCTAGTGTTAGGCCTTGGTGATGTGTACCAAGGGTCTCCCTGTGCTGTGCCACTGGATCCCCGCCATCGACTTTTTGGAACGAAGTACAACCCATCCCGATCCTTCACTCCTCGTGGCGCTGTCGGTATTGCTGGTCAATACCTATGCATCTATGCAACCGACTCGCCTGGCGGGTATCAACTCGTCGGTCGTACGGTTCCTATCTGGGATGAGTTCTACAAGCCCGGGCTGGGCGAGAATGCTCCGTGGATGTTCTCACTCTTGGACCAGATTCGTTTTTACCCTGTCACCGAGGGAGAACTTTCAGCAGCGGAGGCGGATGGAACCTCCAGTGATCTTATCAAAATCTCTGACACTGAGCTAGACCTCAATGAATATGAGAAGTGGCTGGCAGAGAACGAGGACGATATTACTGCTGTTCGGGAGCAACGATCGAAGGCAATGCATGAAGCAGACTTCTTCGACGATCTGCTCAAACCATACAATCCGATCACGATGCGGCCAGGTCAGGGACAGGAAAGCGACGGAGCTATGACTGGAGAGCGGGTGAAGGCACTTTTACCTGGGAGATGTTTCCGGTGCGCTATCGAGGAGGGAGATGAGGTTCAAGCAGGAGACCCTCTGGTGAGTACAATGGACCTTGACATCAATATACAAGCATCGAGCTAATTATATTTAGATCTGGATCGAGTCCAACAAAATGGAGGTCAAGATTTGTGCGCCAGTCAGTGGGAAATGTGTGAGATTGCTGGTCGCAGAGGGAAACATCTTGGGGCCCAGTGACGATGTTGCTATTATTCAATAGGTGATGCCACATGTACATACAAAAGGAGCAACACCATGAAATATGTTCAGATGATTCGTTTCGTTATATCGTTGAGAAGAAACCCCTTGGCCGAAGAGGGACGAGTGCTGTTGGCAACCTTATTCATAAGCTAGTGGAGTGACAAAGGTACAGGAACCCTATCAGTCTCGGAATGTGGCTGCCTTTACAGCAGCCAAATCACCGACCTCTTCATGAAGCATACGAAGTGCCTCGCGAGCAAATGGAGCAGCGGATGCCCGTACCTGCAGGACCCAACGAAGCTTTTCGAGTTGTTCAACGTAACCCGCTGCTTCATCCATTTCAGGACTCGTTGCCCACAAAAGACCGGCAAAGGCACCGACTAAAGCCACCTGGGCTGCGGCTGCAAAGCCCCAAAATGACTGAATATGTTCAGGCTGGAAAGATTCAATTAAGTTCATCGCCGACGTCAGTCGGGCGCGGGCAGCGGTTCGAATAGCTGAACGAAGAGACGGTGCACTATCTGGGTTCAGAACACGGAGTAGCGCGCGATGGATGGTCAGCTCTGTTGCCATATGCGAGAGATGCAAAGCGCCGTTTGTCGAGAGCCGCAATGAGGGTGTAGATTCCAGCTGGAGGCTGGCGGGCAGTGCTGCATGCCATTCGCGCAACTCCATCGCTAGGGGCTTTGCCAGACTCATCGCACCTGACGGCCCAATCCGCTCAAGTAGTCCGCCTTTTTTGGTTGCGCCGATGGAGCAAAATATGGACACGATGCGACTGAAGATCTTGGTCAATTCAATAGATTGCAGGAATGCCGCCCGACCCGCGGCTCCGTCCACACCTCCGTCCCCATTCTCTTCAGTCGCATCTTCTGGAAAGTCATTAAGTGTACACGGGCCAACATCCCAGTCACTCGTCCCCTCATCTTCGTCAATCTGAGTAGGAATGAGAGATGGTCGCCCATGCACAAGAACGCCCCACTTGTCCTGCATGTATAGCGCCCAAGCTAAACGTCGTCGTAGACCTTTCTCCCATTCTGGGATTTTCCAACCCGTACAGTCTATATGAATTCCCAAAGTCTGCCCGAGTGATAGTAGTTGAGCCGGAAGAGTGCTATGGGAAGACCTCATTCTTTGCAATAACAACAGACCAGCCTGTAATGTGGAGAGCTTGGGACGTTTCAGATCGTCGGCCATGGCTCGCATTGCTAGGTCCTCCAGAGCTTCAGCATCTGGTGTCCGAGGTGCAGTAGCGAGAGTTCGATCAAAGAGTTTCCAGTCTAGGGCGACAAGGTAAACGGCAGCGAGCAATGGTGGTGAGAACTCGCGATAGGACCGGGCATATTTCTCCAGGAACACGCCCTGGTCCAGGATGGGAAATGTACGGTGCATGATGCGAAAATATAGATTTACCAAGGTTGGTCCTAGCGGACGTATGGATTCCTCGATGCGATCTAGGTCGGTGATGCGTTGCATCTCAGACGCCGAATCCTTGTCAGGGTAGGTCATGAATGCAGTGGATTGATTCACACGCCGTGGGTAACATCTTTCCTGGCCAGAGAGCGACATAGCTGATGGCCGCAGATCAAGAAGTTCAGGTTCATGATAGCTGGCAGGGCCAATATACTCGGAATGCAGATGAAGCTCTAGACCTAATGTACCATCAAGTCGTGAATTGATTGGATCAACTATGGCCTGTTCTTCGACAGATCCAGCAATGGATGGCGTTGGAGAGCTGCGGTGTCTTTTTATCCTTTGCTTGGGGGTTAGCTAGAATGATCACAGATATTGCATTTCTATTGAAACGTACTTGGTTTCTGTTGTGCTCGGCGACTTCCTCCTTTTCCGCGGTCGTGGACCATGAAGAAATGTGCATTCGAGACCATTCAAGTTACAAAAGGTGCAGTTATCTTTCTCGGGCTCCCGTATACATCGCGACTTGCGATGACGGCAGCGATCGCATGGTCGCGTCGGGTGGTCCACTCCCGCCGGGGACATTTGATGCAAATCAACTATGTTCTTCTTTGGGTACAAATATCTTGGATATGAGGTTATCTAGTCATCTAGTTGGGTCGAATTCGGTCGAGCGATAAAACAGGTAGCTTATTGGGTGAGACGTTGACGATATTCTAGGATTGCCCAGTGCATTGACTCGCGTCCCATTTGGTCGAAAATGAGTGGCACGTGACTGCATATGGTTTTGTTCGAGCACTGTATTCACAATGAATTCTTTCGAATTCTATGGAATATGACAGTATCGCCGTGATTTCGAATTCGAGAAGTGGTCATCTACACGGGCAATTCAACAACAGTACATAAGAGTGGTGTGAGCCACCAGTGATAATATTCACCATGAAGTAGACTAAGCAGCACACAGGTCGTGACAATACCAGGACGAAGTGTGAAGAGGTCGTCACAAAGAAAAAGATAGAAGTAAATTTTGATTTATGCATGTTCAAAACCGGAACACAGGTCACAACCGATAAACCCGAACAAAAACCGAGATACCAAGAAAGAATGCAAAAGAAAAAAGACACGAGAAAACAGATAACCTCCCGCTAAAAAGCACGATCAAGCAAAGAGCAAAAGTGATGGAAGGCCAGTCGACGGCCTGGTCAAGTGTGTCTAGCCATGAGCTCGAAGCAAAAGAACAACCGCAGACTTTATGCAGATGCAGACAGGATGGGACAAAATATATACAGATGAAGGACAAATAATGTCTTTTTGCACATGATTGCAATGAGCATTGAGCCATCAAGGCACAATGCGTCAAGAGAATTGAAGTGATCACCAAGTTTCCTGAAAAAAAAATAGTTAGCAGAGCACCCAAAACATCAGAGCACATCAAAACTTACAGCAATATACTGTCCAGCCTCCTTCTTCCGCTGCCAGAACATATCGGCCTCTTGAGCATTAAGATTACCCTTGGCCATAGCAACCTCAATAAGAGCACCCTCAACACCCTCACCCATACCCTTACCCGAACCACAAACAAAGACACGACCGTCAAGCGAGTTGATAACAAACCAAACAAGATCAGCCTGATGTCTCACCTCTTCCTGCACATAGCGACTCTCGCCCTTACGGCTCTGCACAACAGTGCGCACCTTGTCCTCATGCACGCCCCACTCTCCGGAGTAAAGCTCATCAAGCAGCGAGTCACGGACACCCTGCAAAACCCAGACCTTGTTGGCGCAGTTCGCCGACTGGAGACGGCGTTGCACAAAGCCGCGGAAAGGCGCGATGCCAACTCCTGCACCAATTAGCAGCATCGGGCCATCCGAGGCAAAACGAGTCGCGAGCGGGTTCGCCATAAGTCCTCGGAACATGGGCACGTGAAGATCGAGTTTCTCGCCGGAGGCGTCGGCGGCAATCGCTCGCCGCGCGAGGGACTCTAGGTACCCGGACCCTACGCCTGTGCGTGACCCGCCGCGCCAGTCATCGGATTCAGCGACTGTGACAGCGACTTCTATTAGGCGTCGGCATTCGCTGCCTTTGTATTGGCAGGAGATCTGGGGATCTTGAGATAGGGAGTAGAAGCGGGGCATGAGGGTGTTGAGGACGGAGAGGAGGTGGTCGAGGGGTGGCTGGGAGCTTGAGAAGGCGGTTAAGAGTTGGGTGAGAGAGACAAAGGAGCTTGTGCGTAGGTCGCAGAAAGCGCCTTGGCCTTGGGCCGAGGAGAGGTATTCGAGGATTTTCTTCTCGTTTGGCTCGCTGGTGTACTCGGCAAGGAGGCGGAAGAGTGGCTTAGTTGGAGCGTAACTTTGGATATCGGAGCACCAGCTTAGGACTTCGCGACGGGTAGTGATGAGTTCGCGGGGCTTGTCGTCGCCCCAGATTGTCGGCCAGCGGCCATTGGTTGTGCGCATGAGAATTTTCTTGTCGCGCATGGACTTTGGTATACCTAGGAGGTTGAGGACCTCTTCGACTTCAGAGTCCTTGTTCTTGGGGCACACGCCGATTGCACCACCGACTACGAAATCAACCATCCCGCTTTCCGCGGGGTAGTCGGTGACATCGATATCAAAGTGGTAGGTACGCTTTTCGGCGCCGGGTCCTGTCAACTCACGGGCGTGGTACAGCGGCGCACGGTAGACCTGGTAAGGTGGGTGCGGCTGCACGAATTCCGGAGGGTGATCTGCGGGGCCAAAGGTCATCTCGACCGCCGATGCGGGGATCGGCTTGAACGAAACAGTCTTCTCTGGCAGCGGGGCAATGTTGGAAAGCTCACTGTCCATAGTGAGGAGATCGAGGTTTAGCTTGAGGCAATCAAAGGCCTTGTTACCGACAGGTCCAACGATGGAATTGAAGCCTGAGATTGGCCCATCTACAGGGCGCAATGCCTGTCCCCGGCAACAACCCCCACCACAGCAGAGGGATTGAAGCTTCTGAGTGCCTGCTGTGCCTACATTCTCCAATACCCTTCGCATATCGTCCGCGTTTTGTGAAATGAGGACAGTTGATGCTCGTCGACGTTGCCGACCACTGTCGACCTTTTCCTCTGCATTTTCTTCCTCCGATTGGGACTCGGTGGTTGGTGTTAGAGGGGTATCGGGAGAATTTGAGCCGCTTGACGTAGTGCCTTGAGAGGAGCCCGAGGAGATGACGTGGAAATTGGTGTCGGTCACTGAGAGCGAGCGCACACCTCGAGGCTCTTCCGGAATTGGGTTATCTGGGTGGGAGGTCGAGGACACTGGGATTTCTTGGTAAGTGCCTCTGCGGGGACGGGTCCCCGTTGAAGCATAAGTCGCCGACGGCATGATGGATTGAACGGCGTGAACTAATTCAATAGATCAGAATGTAAGTCTCGACGATTGGATTGGGATTGGGTGTTATCCGCATACCCATGAGGAAATTTAGAGGAGAGTTGGGGATCACCGAAAACTTGCACAAGAATCAGCGCAACGAGGGAAGACCGGGGTATATGAGTCGAGACGTAATGGAGGTTAAGAGACCCAGTGAAACCCCCCTTTTTTTTGCTTTCTATGAATAGAGCAGGGAAAGAGAAGAGTGGGATGAGGGAGGAGAGCGCGGACCCGAAGAATGGTCGGGACGATAGTTCCGTACAGAGAACCGGGAAAGTGAAAATGACGGTATGGGAATGAGAAATACAGGTCTTACAGCGTTGAAGATCGGAAACAGAAAAGGGATTTATCAGATTCGCCACATTCTTCGTCACCGAGTATGTTACACGGTTTGTTCCGGCATTGATATTTTACATATAAGAAACAGAATATATGAAATTCTGACTGACGTTGATCTTGGCCGTCAGCAGTAATAAGGACTCGACTACTGGATATGGCCTTGACTCCAGTTGGGGTCATCGTATCCATCCAGATCGACAGTGCATATGAAGATGAACTTGTACTTTACGCGTATTCGGTGGCGTTGGGTACACCCGAGGAGAGTCCTGGTCGGCTGTTAACTGGAATCGGAATGACCATAGTAGATGTCAGATGATTGCAATTTGAAACTATTATCCTATAATCTATAACTTACGTTTACAGGGGCTTTACAGGGATGATTTAAATTGCAATTGGGAAAAAATTGTATGTTCCGAGGTGGGCCGACTAAAAATGTTGAATTGGAACACGTGTAATGTACGTAATATGACAATACCATACACATTACCTCGGTTATCAGATCAATCAGATAGCAAACAGCGGATTTGTCCGCCCCTTTAAGTAATCAATCCCATCTGATAACCAACTTGTTACATACATCACTTTCACATTCATCTCCACATGCAAGCTGTTCTACCTACCGGGGCAATCTCGGAAAGGGGGTTTAGTTTATATTGCACAACTCCATACAACACCCCTGACCCCAAGCCTTAAGCCCCCATTCTTGCAAAATACAAAATGGATCTCTCTCTATAGACTCCCCCACTTTCCGGCCAGTCGGACCTAGCCTTGTGTATCACATTGGCCCATCACAGATCTCCTAGCTTACATGTCCCTAACCCTCGGTAACTCAATTTCCCAACCATCCGGTCCAAAGTGGAGATTCCAGGCCGAGATCAATCAGTGGGTCATTATTGAATGAGCTAGGGATGTTCTAGAAAAACAGTAAAAAATACAGACCCCTGTTGCTTTCAACCTAAAAGATTGACTGACGAGCTAGTTACTGATTCAATAATAGCCCATAACCTGAAACCACTCCCTGCCAATATCACGAACTAACTCTTCTCCGCGTAACTCATCTCCGTGACTTTTGGTGTGTCACTACATCTCTATTCTACGTACCAGTGGCCCTGCCTTGATTCACTATGTTCTTTATTACAGTAGGGCAAGAAAGCTGCGCTTTGCATACAACTTGATGATCCTGAGGTCAGGAAGTGTTTGTATTATAGTGGGAAGAAAGCCTGGAAGAGCTAACGCTAAGTTCCATCTGATAACTTAATTTTAAATGCTGATGACTAGCTAAATGGTCGAGCCCTTGCGCTTAAGCCCCCGAGACATCTAAATCGAGTAATTATCACCACGAATAGGGGTGGGCGCCACGTCATTATTGTACAACGTAGGTTGTTACAAGACGAATGAAATAATGATACTCAAAGGTTATAATAACAGCAGAAGCCTAAGATCGTACCTATATACGGAGTACGTTACATCATCACATCGTCAAATACGCAATCCCTCCAGCATCCAAGCATAGACAGAAGAATAATAACAGGAAAAGGGAAAAAAAAAGAGACAAACCCTCTAACCCAAAAAATCGCAATTTAACTATTTTCATCCCGATGAACCAAAGCCACAGGCGGAATAAAATGATGCCTCCCCAGAACCAGATAATAAATTGTCGCAGATCCAACGATGCCAACATACATCGCCACGCTCCAGTTCATCGTTTCAACCGTAACTTCCGTTGTCAGGGGAAAGAACGCAAAGACATAAAGTGGACAGAGGAACGCCAACGCCCCAAGATTCACCGCCATGCCAAATTTCCCGAGTGACCACCGATGGTGTGGAAGCGGCTCGCCCCGAACCCGTTTTAGGAATACGCATCCGATTGAGATGATGTACGCGGACAATAGGGATGTGATGGTGAGTGAAATAACAGCGTTTAGAGCGACCTCCGACCCGATGTTGATCATCGATAGTAGGATTGTAATGACTAGAGACACCATTACGGAGTTCAGGGGGATGTTCCAGCCTGGGGTGACCTGGCGGTTACATGTTAATACAGCTGAGGTCTATATAGGGGTTAGAAATGGTGAAGACATGGCTTACATATGCGAAAAATGACGAAAAGGGTAGCCCCTCGTCCCGGGCAAACGACCAGAGCTGACGCGATGCCGTCGCGACTTCGGTGATTGTGCTAGCGGTCAGCGTTACCACCAGCACGGCCGTCATGGCGTTTGTCGCCGCGAGGCTGCCCGTGGTATTGTAGAAGATCTGGATAAACGGGAATCTTGTCGGAGTATCTAGGATTCCGTCGACCTCGCCTAGTGTGAAGCACAGTGTGACCAGCATGATAAATCCCAACACGCCGTTGACGGCAACAGAGGTCATCATTGCCTTTGGGAGTGTCTCTGATGCATCTTTGATTTCCTCAGCTTTTTGGATGTCAGCACGATATACTAGGTCTGAGGTCGTTCATAGAGTTCATTCTTACACATATGAACCGAGCAATCATAACCAAGCATGGATGTTATGGTAGTAGATAAACCGACCAATGTGGCTGTCCCAGCGTTATCCCAGCCGCCCCCATTGTTGAACGTAGTGAAAACTGCGTGGGCATTGTTCCGTGGTGCGAGTACCCACAACGGGATAATGATCGCGAACACGCCAACAATATGAATGATTAAGATCAGCCCTTCTACAAAGGGAAGATTCTTGGCTAGGAATGTGTTGAACAGGATTGAGAATGTCGAGATGGCAATTACTAGCATGGTTCCATGCCATCGTTGGAAGTCATAGTCTGGCCGGTTCAAGACGATCAGGCCTTGAATGATTGTGCCGGCGAGGTAGGCGATGGACACAATGGCGCATTGCCACCCCATTGCAGAAAGCCATCCTGAGACGATAAGTTAGCTAGTTAGACTCACATAGGGACTAGCTATGTTACCTGTGATATAGCTGAGATACTTCTGTCCTCTCTTTGGTGCGAACTCAGACACCCAATGATACTGTCCACCGGCAGTGGGGGCCCTATTTGTCGATTGATTAGCGGCAATCTGGTCAGGGGCAGCAAGCTGGCAGTCACATACATCGAAGCCATCTCAGCAATGCTGGCATAGACAAGGGTAAACCCGGTCGAGACGCCGATGAACCCCCATATCAAGCCCGCTGTACCGCCGTCGGTCAGGCCAGCTGCCAGCAATCTATTAATGGAATCAGTGGTCTGCATAATCACCATATGCAGGGACTAGCACGTACGTCAGAATAACCTCCCATGTGCAGATCAAAGTGCACCCAAATCCAACAATAGAGATAAACCGAAAGTTTCTCTTCGTGACATTAGCAAAGCCAAGCGACAGGAACAACAAGAGCGGAGCAACTTACTCGTAAAACCTGCACTCGACCAAGAGCATTCATATCACGCCGATCTGCCAGCGTACCCATATACCGAGGCTCAACAAGTCCTTTCTGTGCATACTCCTCGTCGTCAAGGCCAGTCATCGTCTGCTGCGACTCAGGTCTGGACCTGTTGAATACCGTCATTATCGCGTGTGTGAATGAACGACTAAAATAAATATATATCGAAGATAAGACAACGAAATTCTCCGCAAGAAAGTAGGGAGTTGCGAGAATAAAAACAAAAGCCTATGTCTCCTGGCAACTCGACGCCCCGAAGGATCTAGGATGCGAAGTATAAAAGCGCCTAGCGAACAAAGCACCCTCTAATAAAACCAACAAAAAAATGGCCGTAGCCGGAAGAAGCAGGTATCAGGAGAAAACCCAAAGGACTGGAATCATGACGGCCACTGAATTGCCGGGATTGAAGCGTGGTATTGACGTGGTAGAGCAAGGCATGGCTTGGGAAAAATTCACACGCGCCATGTGGGAGAGAACACCTCCTCGGAACACCCAGGCAGCGATCCGAATGATACATCGTTCTTTGCTCGAGGGTGCTGCATCCAATCCGATTGGAAAAGGGGCTGTGACATTAATTTTTGGGATTTACTATCCCTTGTCTCTTGCCCGGAATGGGGGGGGGCTCTATTGCGACCTTGCATGGCAGGGGGGTGTTGTCCATTTAACTCTATATAACTTCTGTTGAATCTGGGAGATATTGAAGTCTGGACTAACTATCGGGGTTGTAATGTCACTTTAAATCCTTCTATTCTATCCCAGTTTGATATTAACGGTGACTTGTTTCTCACTTCTAAAAGTGCACTGAAATGGTAGACAATACAAAGTATGAAAGATAAACAAGCCTAGCCCCTTGAACAGACACGGCACCACTACCCGATACATTTTTGATGTATCACTCGCGCTAATCCTCTAACTCTATTAATCCCTGTCGTCTATCCACTCGATACTTATCCCCCAGACAATTCCGCCACACTCCATGCCTGTGAACTAAATGGCGGGTGGATGCATAAACCCCTCGCTTTATTTACCAAAGAGCAAACTGTATGGCCTATCGGATGATGACCCCCAAAGACCCGCAGTCTAATTCTGAAGGGGCGCGCACTGATCGACGACCCTACAGCGGGTCGCCATGCCCTAACGCAGTGTACTCACAGTACGTACTACCTCGAAGTTCGACGTGAGGGAGAGAAAGCAAACTACCATTCCAGCCAGATGACCTAAACTTACACCAAAGACAATAATTGCAACCATTTATACCCTCCAACGGAAAGAAGGGATAAACCCGCCATCCACATTCGAACCCCCTTCAGTATTCGCCACATCGAGCGAATCCCACCAGCTATACTTATGTACATTTCTGTACTCGATAGTCCATGTTTCTATCGGGTATCGGCATATGACCTCCCAAGGCAGAAACAATCATAATCCCAAAAGCACCGTAGGAGAAACGGAAAACCACGTAGCTCAATCGTCATCGCCGGGCCTTGACGCCTGCATATCTCCTGTTTCGGCCTTTCTATACAGTGTATACAAGCGTCGCGGTCTCAAATCAACCCCCTTCCTCCATATTAATTTCCGTTCCGTCATCCAACCCACATGGCTCTTCGATCTGACAGCCTTTCACAGTCGCTCCTGTGTCTGTGTTGATCAGCGCAACTCATATACATTCCACATAACACCACAGTATAGCTATCCATCCCTCCACATGACAACCACGAGAAGAGTACTTGTCTAGACTCCGTTATTTGAGGTGGCTCCTTCTCCCTCCCCCTTGACATGGGCCCATATGTGCCACCAGGCCAGTCGCCGCCCTTCGAGGTCGTCGATGACTTGCACCATGGCGCGTGGGTAATCATCACTGCTGCGCTGGGCCTGGTTGTCTCCCTGGTGTGCTTCCTCATTCGGCTATATGTGCGGCTCATGTTAATTCCGCCTTTTGCGCGCGATGATTGGGTTTTGTTGGGCGCTACGGTGAGTGAGGGCTTGCAGAATCGAGTCGAGTCAGGTTTGGGTTGGATGGATTATCTGAGCACACTGCTGACATGTATCATTTTAATTTCTGTACAGGCTATCGCTGTGGTGCAATCAAGTCTCATCTTTTATGCGTGCTCGCGCGGATTCGGGACTTCTATAACGTTATTGAAGGATGGTCGGCTTGATCAGATTCAAGCTGTAAGTCGTCATTTGATATTCTATTGCATTGTTCCATAAACCCAAACTAACCAATTACTTAAGTTAATTGCAACAAGCGATATCATCGCGCTGATAATCATCTACCTCTCCAAATGCTGCGTCGTGGCCATCTACCTCCGCCTCACGCCGCAGAAACCACATAATCGCGCATCCTGGGCGACCCTAGCTCTATGCACTGCCTGGGTCATCCCGGCTATATTCATTGTCCTAGTCAACTGTGAGCTAAACACACCTTGGCGGAGTGACGGTGGCCAATGCAACGACTTGGTATGTAAAGTCACTAATGATATACCCCTCACCAACTTCCAAAAGCTGTCTCTCATCTCGCAAGAATAGTACATACGATGGCAATTCATCGCCGCAGTCGACGTTATTACCGAAATCCTTCTCTTTCTCCTCGCCGTGATCCTCTTAAAAGGCCTCTTCATGTCCGTTCGCCGCAAACTAGCCGTCGGCTTCGCGTTTATATTCCGCTTTCCGTGAGTAATCCGCATGCGCATTCCCAATCCCAAACTCAAGACTAACCGCCTAATCCCAGCCTTATAATCCTTTCTCTAATGCACATCTCAACCTTTCGCACCGCTCTAAACAGCAAAGACACTACCCTCGCCGCGGTCAAACCAACAGTCTGGATGCAAGTCGAGCTCCACTACGCCCTAGTCGCATGCAGTGTATTCTGTCTCCGACCATTCATGGCAGCCGTCAGCACAAACTACGGCACGGCGGGCGACTCGACCCTGGAAAGTAGCGCGTCGAGGTCAAACGGCACGAAAGAAAGCTCGAAGACCGGGTCTGGCTCAGGCTCCAATTCGAATACCGTTTCGAGATCCATATCGCATTCTCGCTCACGGAGGAAAAGAGCCGGTACGGGGTCAAGATCGCTGACGGTTCCTCCCGCCGTTAGTGGTTCTGGCTCTGGGTCGCAACCGTCGGGGAATCATGGCCCGGGTCGGGATGCGCCGTTGTGTCTTGATGCCAGTCCCCGTGCGCACGGAGCGCTTGGAAATAATCAAAGGCATGGGGATAATCGAAGATCGGATACGGTGCGTGCGCCAATGCGCCGGTCGATGTTCCCGCTCAGCGCGCCGCGCAAGAAGCTGAGCTTTCAGGTGCCGGAAAAGGGGAAGAATGGTGTAAGGACTGGGTCTGGGGGGCCGTTTACGGTGGAGTCGGATTTGATTGAGCTTGTGCCGAGGCCACATACTCGGCATGAGAGTGGTGCGACTGATGGAGAGGATAATGAGGGGGCGGATAAGATGGTCATTCATAAGGAGATTCGATACTCGATTCAATACGAGGATGAGGCGGAGTTGAGGAGGCGGGAGGATTTGAAGAGCAATTCTGTTGATGTTTGTGCTTATGTATAATTTTATCTTATATTATATTTTTGTAGTATGTGTAAAGGGGGGGGGGGGGATATTATGCATAGATAAATCGGGGGTTCGGATATCCTTTGCTTTGGTGGCTGAAGTAGATGCTGCATATGATATTGAAATCCTGTAACGCCGGTCTTCTCGAATCAAACCAAGATATTGCTGATGATAAAAGCTGTACACAAAATCTAAACATTAGAACACTTCAACTTGGTCGCTTGAAAGGATGGGCTTCGGTGCTCCTGAAGAGAAGATCATTAGCTCATGACAGGATATACACAGCTGGGGACAAACATACAGCACATAGTCGTCCAGACTGATATGATCTGGCTCAGAAAAGATGAGATAGAGGTACTTCAAAGTCTCGGCAAGCCAAAAGCTCTCCATTTTGTCCTCGTGTTTTGGTTTCGAATGACGCACATCGTTGATAGACGAATGGCCAAACTTAGTCCGGGTAGCCTTATCAATATTTTTAAACATACGCCACGCAGAGTCCTGAAGAGTCTTATCTCCAGTAATCCGATACATGACGAACAGGGACTCGAGGGCTTCAGGTCTGGACCGGCAGTATGTTAGTGAGCTGCACCAGGAGGCATGGGATAAAACTCGTACCTGAGCTTGTAAGCTGCGTCTTGAACATCAGTCACACCTGGAGGTAGATGCTGAGCCTCAATACGGTCCTCCGCTTTCTCGCGGTCCTCCTCGGTATCAATAGAGTGCGATATGATATCGGACATCCACTGCTCTTCATCCCACGGACACTCATCAATGTGCTCGCAAGGACTGACCTGGAACACCTCCGGCATAATCCCTGTGGGCATGACATCATATGCCCAGACACAGCCGTCGGTAAGTCCCCGGGCAACATACATATCTTCCGGCCGATTGAAAACCTTAGCACCAATAGCCACGGTGCCACCCATGAAGCACTTGAGGTGGTCAGGCGCGTAATGGAAGGTCTTCGCGCTACTTCGCATTGCAACAACGTTGGCCGTGAAGAGAACGTGCCGGTCCTCGTCCTGGGTCATTCCTCTGAACAGCAGATTCTCGTTGAATGTTTCAATGGCCTTTTCGTACATCCTGTGATATTTGTCCGTCTGTGCACCCAGGAGAATGTGTTCTTTGGGCAAGTACTCGTAAGCGGAATCGGCACATCCGCCGATGGTGAATTCGGAGTCGTCGAATGTCATTCGGTCAGTGTCGATCCATGTCGGCCACATGCCAGGCATCCGTGTCTTGTCTTGTCCGATCTCGAGCTCGTTCATAATTCGCTGCACTGCGTCGTAGTACTTCGGATCACCGGTCAATTGAGTCAGGCGAGTGAACTCCATTGTCAAGGATCCCATTTCCGCTAAGCTTGTGCGTGAAGATGGTGTTATTTCTTTGCCTTGGGCAGATCTAGGTATTGTCAGTCTCGAATTCTCGTTGCATATTTGTGTATATTTGGCATACCTAGTCCAATCCCAGCGCACTTGAGGCATTCGATTATGCGTATCGAACGCATTGAAAATCATCTCGCCCAGTTCGACAGCCTTTCTCAGCAGGATAGGATGTTTGCCTTCGGTCAGGTCATGAGCAGCAATAAATCCACCCATGTAGCGGATGATTATCTCAAAGACAGGCACCTGTCTACTCTTGGTCGTTGTAAAGTCGATTTCCTCCAGGGCCTCCAGTGCTAGTTGTAGCTCATCGTCCAGTCCCATGATCACAAGCACATCTAGCGAATCAACAAGTGTGGCACCCCAACCATTGAAGGTATCCTGGTACCCTCCAGTGCGGGGTTTCACCTCGTCTCGCATCCACGCATGGTCCTTATATCCATTCCATGAATGAAGAAATGCCTCCTTCACAGCATCCCGCTTCTTGAGTCTGGCCATGCGCTCGCTGCGGGTTTCTTCGGGGAAATTGTGCTGAATGCGGGGAATTTTCGCTGAACCTGTTGGCAATGGGATGTAGTCTGTAACGGGGAATCGCTCGGTGACTTGATCTAGACGAATGGCATCATGTCGAATGGTGCCGTCTTTTCTGGAGATTGGCTTTGCTAGGCGACCTCGGTATGCTTTTGTACTAGGGAGCCAGAAGAAGAAAACATATGTCGCGACAATCAGAAATAATGCGGTTGATAAAGGTCGATTTTTGCGCTTGTTATACATAACGAATGAATAGAGTAGGGGTGTTGCAAGAAAACAAAAGGAATAATAAAAGAACGGTCATGGGAAGCCCAGGGAAGGAGTGGAATGGTGTACAACAAAAGTCAAGTGTAGGGGCCCGTAACAACGGCCGGCATTGATGTCTCGGAGAGATTAAGATCCCTGGGAGTTGGAACAAAGGAGGAAATGGACACATTTTTGTACAATGTGGCACGTCACTGATTGTGAGACGTCTCTGCGAAAGGGAATCAGACGCGGCCGGGTTCTTTGGAGCTCCATTGATCGTCCTTGGCTTTCGGAATTGAGTGCAAGGCATCATATCGCAGGGGGATGATGATTGGTGCAAATTTGAGAATGTGAACCCCTTCACACCTCGCCACACAAGAAGGCAAAAGCTGCAGGGCCCAAGTTATGTTTATTATTAGAGTATTAATGGTCCAGTCTAGGCTTGCGATAAAAGTGCCAAGAGGGTCTTCTGTCTCTCCAGGCTGTGCTCAATCTGAGGGCGCCACCAACCCCACTACGGCCCCTGAGTCTCTCTGATGGAGTAAGGGTTGATCTTGTCGATTTTAGACTGGAAGATCGCACAATAGGACATGTGAATATGAAAGCCTGTGCTTTAATATCCATGTGTACCATGATAACATGACTACATATGTAGCCAAAGGGATCTGGGGGGTATCAGGAAGCGATACTTACGGAGTACTCCGTAGGTCACTTTACCTTATTTTCTGTGGACTTAAATTCAGCCTTGCCCAGGCCCTGGGGTGGAACCTGGAGATCACGTAAGCTATTCAGGGTTCAAATTCACGTGATTGTTATGGTATGATCACATGACTCTGTGTGGGATTTATCTCTATTACGTAACCCACATAGCTCCCCGGGCCAATCTTGGAAGGTACCTCTGAATATCTACACTCTTCAGGATTCCTCAGCTGGAATTTGATGTAGTTAACTACTCATTGTAATAAAAGTATGGTAGGTTCGATCATTCGATTCCATAGTTTCCAAGATTTGCTGAAATCTGTGTTACCTTGATAGAATGAAAAGTGCCTATTCCAGTTGTTAGCATTGGCAATCATCCGTGGATCTCAAATTCGTCGACAAAACGTTTAATAGGGATATTAGCGATATTATTGGACCGTGCATCGGCATCCAAGAGCAAATCAGAAGCCAAAGTTGCCGATATATTAGACACTTACTCTCCAACAATGTAGAAAACATAAACAATTTAGAAAGAAGCGATTTACAAAATGAGATTGGAATCAGTGGCATTCAATGACACTTTAATGTCATCTACCTAGCCAAGTGGTGAACATTTACCGGGCAGCTCAGACAGAAACCCTTTGGATGCTCTTTCACAGGTGCCACAAGGGATATATAGGAGACGAAAACTCATTGGTAGCGATAGTTGACTTCTTCCAGTATTCAATGATGACTATGCCCTTAACAAATCAGAGCGAATCACATAAAATTTGTGTCAAAATGGCCAACGAGGCTTCTGGTATCAATTTGATCAATTTGCAAATGATGCTAATGCCTCGCTCGAGAACCTCGAATCCTACAAGAACAGCCTTGGCCGCCTTCCACTCAACGCGCAAAAGCGCACGCTTTTCGATCCATGGGAAATCTGGGACCAAATATAGCCCCAAATAATTCTAACGTATACAGTAATATTGACAATCGACTTTACTACATGCTACCTGGTGGGTGGTGCACGATTTTCGGTATCTGCCAAGATTAACTCTACAATTCCTCTAATAGTGGAGAGCTATAATTCCTATATTAAATCCATTAATACAACGCAAGAGGATTTTATCGAAGATAAATTTCCGATTGTCGACACTCTAAAGTTAAGGCATTTATATTAGATGTTTGTTCTGTTTGCACTCCACTGTTAATATCATCCCCAGGCTTTCATGTGGAGGCCGACCACTTGATTCTCCAGAACAACCTCGTATACATAGAAATTGTCCAAAGGTACCGGATTATTCTCATTTTCAGTGCTTATGCTAATCAAACTATACAGATTTGCAAAGCTCTTATTCTGTTGAGGACTCCTCTTTTGCCACTCTCCGGCACTGGATTTGATCATCATCCTTATTGATCGATCTCTATATCTATATTGCATGATCGCTACCTGCTACATATTCCTTGAATCAATACCCCAGCAGGACTGAAATCACCGGGGACTCGTCGCCGCCATCTTCTCAGCTCATCAATCCCCCCAGTTGATATATCTCAGCTCAACCATCAGTTCCATTTCTTCCTTTGCACCTGCCCAGAATATAAGAAGAAAACAAACATTAAAAATGCCTATCACAGGGTAAATCCCCTCTTCCAATCCAACAAAACCCCCAAACTAACACCACAAAGCGTGTACTTCATCCCCTCAAACCCAAACGCCTCAACGGCCCTCCAAATAATAACAGAGCGCCTCCGCGCCGCCTTCCCAAATGAAGAACTAACCCCAATCGGCCGCTGGGGCCTGGAACAAAAGCTCCTCCGCGACACCCCAGGCCTACTCCCCTCCTCAAACTCAAACAAAAAACCCCCAAACCCACGGTACATGCAATTCCTCTCGTTAACCCACTACCCAACCCACGGCTTCATCTACACCTCGGAGCCAGAGAAACCCGCCCCAGCACCAAACCAAAATCAAAACCAAGGCGCGCCTGGTCCCGTAAATGCCATTGCGCCAGATCACTCTCCCTCCCCGCCAATGGTCATGACTACTATCCCACCTTCCTCGTACGGAACCCTCTTCCAGCACTTCACCTACGCTTGCCAGCCTGTCTGGAGCCACCGGTTCACGCTCGCTGTCCCGAACGGGATCGTCTATGAGGTTGGTGACTTCCGCGTGCGTCTTGGTGACGTGCGGCAGACGTTCCCGACGGCGCGGGTGCGTGGTACAGTTGTTGAGATTGAGTGGCGTGGTCCGTCGATTGTGGAGGCTATTCCTGTGGATCGGGGGGATGGGTCGTTTAGGGCTGGTGCTGGTAATGGTGATGTGGATGTTGAAGCTGCGGGTATCGACCTCGCTAGCTCTGCGGTTGAGGAGTCCGATATCGATGCTGAGTATGCGGCGACTGCGTCGCTGATTCGCGAGTTTTGGGGGAGATTGGGTGTTGAGGCTCGGGAGGCGATTCTTATTCCGAACGTTGGGATGGAGGTTAAGGATCGGTTGAGGAGATGGAAGGAGGCTGGGTCTGGGGTCGATGCTAGGGTTGATATTAGTGTTGATGGGGCAGGCTCTGTGGTTGGTGAACGTGCTGAAGAAGATCCTGATCCGTGGTCTGGGGCGGATGTTGCGAGGCAGTTTATGGAGGTTTTGAGGTTTAATCGATAGCGGAATGCTCAAATGGTGGGGGTTGGGTTATGGCTACTCCTTGTACGCTTGCTACTGTGTTTTGCGGAAATGGCTAGTTGGAACAAGGTGGCGAAGTTGAGACAAACCCAGCACCGTCAGGGTTATAGGGAGAGAGCCATCATTCCTATATTATGAACACTTGACCCAAAGTACCGCCCAGTTCATTCCGTCTGCATTTCAAAGCACACGCTTGATCGTAAATCATCCAAGATGTATAGCCTAATGGACATAGACTACAGGAAATCGGTATTGGAAAATTGAAATGGAAGAGAAACATTCTCGTTAAAAAACCGCGACGTCAGCTAATATGGAAAAAGGCGCAATGGTGGAAATGCGTCGTTTATTTTTGCATCATGAGCTGAACGAACTCGTTGTCTGTATGGGGATGGAGAGGTTAGCATTTGGGCAGACAAGTGCCTGTAGGCTCCAAGATTGTTTCCAAAACATACAGTCGATCCGGCCATCACCATCCTGATCCGCCTCACGGATCATCTCGTCAACCTCGTCGTCGGTCAGCTTCTCACCGATGGAAGTCATGACGTGGCGCAGCTCGGCGGCGGAAATGAATCCGTTGTTATCGCGATCGAAAACCTTGAATGCCTCGCGGATCTCCTCCTCGGAATCGGTGTCCTTCATCTTGCGAGCCATCATGGTGAGGAATTCTATTGCACGTCAATAGCCGTCTCTCATTTATATCAGTGGGCTATGGTCAAGTACCAGGGAAGTCAATGGTGCCGTTGTTGTCGGCGTCAACCTCGTTGATCATATCCTGCAACTCAGACTCGGAGGGGTTCTGGCCCAGCGAGCGCATGACAGTGCCAAGCTCCTTGGTGGTGATTTGTCCTATTGGGAGAATTGTATATTAGGATACCTTTCTCTTGAAATTTGATCGCAGAGGACACTGCTGTGTGCTCAACTGAGCTGTCGGGCGCGACCACACGTACCATCGCCATCCTTGTCCTATTCCGCAACAAAACAAACTCTCGGTCAGCATTTTCGACCTTCAAGTCTTTGATTTGTATGTGGAGTCACTCACAAACAGGGAGAAGGCCTCCTTGTACTCAGACACTTGCTCTTCGGTGAGGGAATCAGCCTAGATGGTGCGATGGTCAGTGAGGTTCAAAGGAAGAGTGTTGCCCCGCATTGTGGGGGTTTGATTTTCGACAACGCAACACACAAGTTGAGATAAGTTATGGGATCAGGGACATACCATGATGAATGTAGATGGGAAAATACAAAGGAGGGGTCAAATGAAGAAGTTGAAGAAGAGGGTTAAGGGGAACAGCCTTACAAGAGTTACCAAAATAGCGTGCCTGAGGATGCCCAGTCAGCGTCGTTTCATCTCAGGGCGGTGGGGGCCGTCCTGGGGCTGGACGTTGCCATCATTTGAGATGTGTACTTCGTCCTTTGTACTTTGTGGGTTTATTTTATTTTATTCGGGTATTTTATATATTAATATATCTAGATCTCTGGATCTCTATATCTCTTTTTATAATACCGAGGTATGAACGATATCTCCTTTTTCGTAAGATATTGATCGCTAGACAAAAGCTTGATCCCGCCCCTCTGCTGAGCGAGCTAACAATGATAATATCTGCCGAATACACATGGAGCCTAATTGCATTAGGAAGGTCTTGGCTTTTATTTTGGATTTCTTTTATCTCTAGTACTTTGTGGTAGACTGCGGGGCCCTAGATTTATAGATCTAAAACCAGGCAGAGTATTAAACGACATGTTATAATGGTCTATATTAATAACACGTAGTTGTTCAGTATATTAGCCTTCGAATTTGCATGATCTTGAGAACACCATATACCTATTTAGGCCATGTTGTCCTAAATCCGGGGTGTCAATGCTACGTTTAATCGAGCACGCCACCCATAGGAAGCCATTTGCAGTGGTTGGCACGATGTCACGAGAGACATCATTTTAGTCGAGAATATATACAACAATGGATAGGTTAAATGATCTTCAAACGTTACCCAGCCATACGAAAATTACCCCACTCCACGTGGACAAAACCACGGATTACATGATGAATACCGGGCATACGTAACCCCTTCGGACATGTGGAGAGCTCCTATCACTCACTTCCGGCTACATCGAGACTCTTAACCATTCAATCCCAGCTTAACACTTCCACCTGATCATGACTCCTATACCCTCACCAAATTAATCAACCATCCACACAGCCTGATCCTCCCAACGCCCTCACAATGTGGCGGGATCGAACCAACCTGTATGCAACCCCATATACCCAACTCTACCTTAAGCAACCCGTCAGCGCCGGAAATAGCCAAAAAAGCAAAAGAAGAAACACCACCCATAAAAGCCAGACTACAAAGCATAGCAACAACTAACAGTCCACCTCAAAACCCAGCTACCTCTCCTACCGCCAATCCCTAATCCACCACCCAGCCAAAAAGCCACAATTCACACCAACAAATGGCTTCTCCGACACACCCTCGCACCCGGAGGAAAACAGGCGCCTAATACCCGAACCAGACGAAGATGGCGACATGGTCATCGAGATGGATCTCCTCCCGCCGCGCTGGGTCGACGTGCAGGAAGAAGTCTCCGAACTCTTATCCGAGATCGCCCAGAGCTCCGCCCAGCTCGACAAGTTACACCAAAAACATCTACTCCCCGGCTTCGGCGACGAAGACCTGCGCAAGCAGGACGAGAGCGTTATCGAGCGCTTAACGCAGGATATCACCCGCTCCTTTCATGATTGCCAGCGCGCTATCATGCGCATAGAGACTATGGTCGGCGAGTCGAAGGCGCATGGTGGTGTTACGAATGGGGAGGAGACCATGGCGAAGAATATTCAGATCTCGCTTGCTGCGAGAGTGCAGGAGGCTAGTGCTAGGTTTAGGAAGAAGCAGAGTACTTATTTGCGGAGTATGGGGCCCTTCCTTCTTTTTACGTTCTTGTTCTTGTTATCTTCCCATGGAGGCGGAATTGGTTGGTTCAAATATGCTAATATGGCAATTTGTCTCTGTGCAGAATTGCGCGATCTCGAGGGTATCGCGACGCCGTTCGATGGCACGCCTACACAGGCCCAGAACCCATACACGGATCCGTCAATGATGGAGTCAGATGCCGACAGGTCCTTTTCGCAGACAATGTTGCAGCAAACTTCGCAACGACAGACTGGTCAGAATGATGCTGCTATTGCGCAGCGGGAGCGCGAAATCAACGATATTGCAAAGGGAATCATTGAGCTCTCGGATATTTTCCGTGAACTACAGAGCATGATTATCGACCAAGGAACCATGCTGGACCGTATAGATTACAATGTCGAGCGAATGGGCACCGAGGTTAAAGCTGCAAATAAGGAGCTGAAAGTGGTATGTTACCCTTTTGAATTTCGCTAGAACGAGAAACTGACTCATATAGGCCACGAGCTATCAACAACGAACTACCAAGCGCAAGATCATGCTATTACTCCTCCTAGTCGTGGTGGGAATGATCATTGTACTGGCTGTGAAACCAAAGGGGAGCAGATCAGCGCCTCCGCCGCCTCCGGAGGATGAATCTTCAAACAATATCCGCTCTATGTTGGCTTACCGGGGGCGAAGGCATCAGTTGTCGAACCGCTTCGCGCGAGATCGGTGGATGGATCCGGATATATTCCGATGACGTTTTTTCTTTTCCAAGTAGCATTGGTTCATAGTTAATGTGACCAGAAGAGCAAACATTCCCTTTGCACGTCGGTAGTTGCCGTATTTGTTTACATAGTTTTGGTTGCAAGTAAATATATGCGTAGGTATTTAAACACGATGTCTATATTGTATGGAGATGCTAGGTATCATGCAAAACACTTGCATGGAGAAAATTCGGAGAAAATTGGACTACAGGGCTGTGATCAATGCCATGTTACATGCTCCAACTCTTACATTTGGTTACTTCATACACGAAAAAAACAAGAGATATCAAACATAAACCGAAACACGAATGCCCAGGAGGCAGTCAATGGAATAGAAAAGAAATGGTTAAATCACACCACACCAGGGCAGCCGATGCACATAAATTACCAAGGTAACATATGGCCCCGACCATAATGATTCAAGCTCACTTAGTGCTTACCCTGAGTGGCAAGCAGGTCAGCAACATCAGCATCTAGGTCGCCGGCCGCAAAAGCCGCATAGTCCTCCTCACCATGTGAGATCTTGCGTCTCTTTGCATGGCCATCGGAAGCAATATCGAAGTCATTGCCATGGTTCGAAGAAATAGTGGATTGATCAGTGACAGCAGTCCCATTACCTGATTGTTGCATGTCGGGGAAGTTCATGGGGTTCCATTCCGAGGTGTCGTCGTCCACCTCTTCAGTAAAAGGACCATGGCGGAGCTGCTGCTTTTCTGGCTGTGGGGACCCTACTGGCGTAATAGCTTCCACCGGGGGAGGTGTCAAAGCTTCGACTTCTGGGCGGCCGGGTGCGTCATCGTGTCCGCTGTGTTCGCCGGGGTTTGTGGAGGACTCCTCACTGGGTAGACCGCGCATGATCGCATCTTCGATCTCGCGCTTCTCGTTATCGACCGAGGTTTTCTTCTGAGAGAGTTCGGTGCCAAGGACTTCCTCCTTTGATAGCTCTGCGCGATTGGTCTGGAGGATCTTCTCAAGCCCATCGATCAGGGCGCGGCGCGACTTGATTACCTCGGAGACGGAGTTTTCTGCGTTGGCAAGCGTCTTCAAGAGTGAACTTAAACGTGCGGCGTGAACAGGCAGTGTAGGCTTCGGAGACTTTGGGTCATGGAGCTTGTCGAACTCTGAAGTAGCGGTTGCGGCGGAATTGTTGGAGTTGATGACAGCCTTGTTGACAGCAGTCTGCAATGGGTTGAGAGGCTGTAGTTCTGATGGGGTAGATCCCGAAGAAGTGTCCTTGAAGAAAGAGCCCCCGAGGGTTTGCTTCTTGTTTGTAGGACGAGCTTTGTCGAGTTCTGTAACATGATCAGTTTAGCTGTGCCCTCATTGTACTTATTGATTCGACGTACCGTCTATGCGAGCCTCCACTGCATCCAGAATAGCTCCATCGAATACACTGCGTTGTCTCCAGACCTCCACGACTCGGCGGATCCTTTGTTGGTATTCATTCGACGAGCCCTTGTAAGCTGCTGACGTAGCATCGACAATTATCTTTTGTTCTGTTAGTTTGAGTTGTAATGGCGGACTGAGAGAGACGGACCGGGGATAGCGCGATGAGGAAATCATTTTTCCCGCGTACTTTGGATTGCTGGGCCACCTCTGTAGATATAATTAGCAAGCGGTGCGGAGCTCAAGTGTAGGAGGACATGTGTACCATTGGCTAGGTAGATCAGGTTGAGTCGCTTGGGAGGCGGCGAGTCGCGAATCTTTTGGAGCCAAATTTGTCCGGTACGTTCAGCATGGCGTCTATAGTTACAGGCAAAATATCAGCAAGTCTCTTTGGAGTTGAAGCAAGTGTCCGTACCTGTGGAACATGACCCATTGCGCAACAGTAACGATGCTTTCCTGTGAGTCGTTCAGAGCAGATAGCTTTGCCTTCACAGCGTCATCAGTGAAAGCCATGATGAAAAAAAATAGGAAGCACTGCAATTCAACGGGAAGCGTTTGAGAAGTGAAATTATCAGATCTGAAGCGCAAGTCGCAATCACGGTGGGAGACAAATAGGCAACAAGGAGCAATTGAAGATCACTAGTGAGATTTTGAACTGCAGTGAAGTTGCAATCAAGTAAAGCCACCGGAACAAAGCCAAAGAAAATATCAAACGAAGATCTCAACTCTCAACCTTCTTCATCGCAAGTGAAGTTGAGGTGCTTTGTACCCCAAGCTTGAAACATGGATAAGCTTACCGCCCCGGAACCGGCAGAACATCGGGGCTCCGAGCCCGCCCCGGCCACACCTGTCAACACTACTTCCTCTAACTATCAACTTCCTGGTCCTTTGATTACTTCTCCTCCTGACCATCTTCTTGATTCAAACGTCTTTATTGAATCATACAACAGTCAAAAACAATCCATTCCCAGCATGGCTGACCGTTTTCCTTCCCTAGAGGACTTCTCTGAGGGTATACTTGAACCCACCTTACTCTCCTTACACCGGAGCTAACATGACCCGCATTTAGGCCAGACCGAAGTAGCTGACATCCAAGCTACCACCGATGACGATTTCCTTGCCCGTGAGCGTGCTGTACTCGGCGAAGATGCGGAGCAATTCGCTACTTCTCAAGACCACGTTGCCGGCGGGAATGTAGGCGCGGGGGATGACGACTTGCTCGGCGGAGGCGACGAGCCCGTTGAGGAAATTGGCCAGTTTGAATCATCCTTCCCTTCCGTAGCGACACAGAACCAGAACGAGGTATGAATTGACTCTTGGATACTTGGGTGGTGAATGTACAGTATGCTGACCAGGGGGTTACATCTGCAGCGCGTTGCTCCCGGTGGCACAATCACTGGCTCCGGCTCACCCTTCCCCCGCACCGGATACCAGAGCGCCCAGGAACCCGAAGATGAGGGAGATGCTGTTCGGTGAGTCCAATCTCAAACACTGGATGACGGGGCGCATTGCATTTTGCGATCTATATTCATCTTGTTTCAGCCTAGATCCCTAAGCTAACGTCTGTCTTTCAATTCTCAGTGAATGGCGCGAGAAGCGTGATGCTGAGATCACCCGCCGTGCGGAGGTCTCCGCCGAAAAGAAGGACAATACCGTCAAGAAGGCACAGGAGGATATCGACGACTTCTACGTTTCTTACAACAACAAGGCCGATAAGAACCGCTCCCACGCCCGTGCCGAGGCCGAACAGTTCCTCGCCAACCGGGAGGACACCTCCGCCGGTGGCACCAGCTGGGAGCGCATTGCTAAGCTGGTTGATGTATCGGGCAAGGGCTCCGCGGGCGGTGCCAGCGGCTCCGGAAAGGAGCGTTTCCGTGAATTGTTGATCGACCTCCGAAAAGACCAGGATGCTCCCGGTTCCAGCGGAGTCTAGGTGGTTTGCTTTGGCGCGTGGGGGATAGAACATTCGGGAGTCCGGGGTTAAGACGTGGTATTCACAAGTTTCCCACATTTACTCATATGATATGGCTTTTTCTACATCCCCCTCCCCGCATTATTTGGTAGCCTGGCCGTGATCTGGCAGCTACATCTCTTGTTCTCTTATTTTATTTTACTCCACGCAGCGATGTCTCTAGGGGGGTTTGTAAATTAGTATCTCACTCAAATTGATAGCATCGTTAATACCACGGGTTTCCTTCTCTGGACGGTTAGCCTGATTAGGTATCTTTATTATACGCTTAACAGTACAATGGACAGTCGCAAATGTACAACAATCACGGAGGTGGTTGATAAACTGTTCTCGGATCAAGAAAAATACATGCATACTCAATTCATATCATCATCCATCGCTTTTCGCATATCCTTAGTCAAGCTCGGTAACATCACCGCCGGGCTCACCAACTTCCTGCTTTCCCTCTTCCTCTATCTCCTTCAGTTTCTTCTGGCCCTCTGCTGTCGTGGCGTCCACGATTCCTTCCTCCAAGCTGAGCATGCCACCATTGCCCAATTGCTCCACAACAACCTCTGCCTCCTCAACGGACATCTTGCCGAGAACCTTGTTGACTTCGTCCAACGACTCAGTTGCCAATGCCTTTTGCAGGTCTTCAGGGAAAGCGTCGAAGATCTTGCGCACCTCAATCTCAGTAGGGTCCTCGCTGTTGGCGGCGGGCAGGTTGATAGTGATCTTGGTGTTGGGGTCAACGGCATGCAGCTGGATTTGCTCTACTCCCGCAGGATCGTTGGATGCTGAGCCATCCTTGCTGAGCTCAGCGGAGCGGGTTTTGATACGAGCATAAGTTTCATTGACATCATTAAGGAACAAGGTAGATGCGCGGTGATCCTTGGTAGTGATGCTGGAAGGTTATATGTTAACCATTGTTTGAAAAAAGAAAAAGGTAGAGAATTAACAAACCGAGTAAAGAACAGCTGGATGCCGTCACGACCGAGCGAACGGCAGTATTGCAGAAGCAGACCTTGGTGCACGCACTGGCGAGCATAGTCATCTTGGCCCTTGAGCTGACTATTGAATGCCTCAACAAGTAGACCGTCAGTCTCTTTCTCGGCGACAATGTCCGGGTTCGCTGAGATGAAGTTCAGATAGGCCTTGTAGTCCCCAGGCTTGAGCTGAGCGAACTTCTTTGCCAGAGGACTGATCTCGATATCGGCAGGGTCTTCATCATCGCCTTCATCATCGGCCTTGGCGGCAGGGCTTCCCGCACCCGGGTTCAGAAGCTCAACAGAGCTCTCCTTTGGTTTGGCAGCGGCCTTCTCCTTCTCAGCAACCTTGGCCACATGTGATTGGTTGAAACCTTCATGCAGCTTATCACTAGTGATCTTGGCACCTTCCTCCTTCTCAAGTTGTGCAAGCTTTGCGAACAATTCCTTTTGGAGTCCTTGAATCTTTTCCAAGTGTCCATTCACACCCTGAATGTATGCCTTGAAGAGGTTCTCAGGCTTAGAATCGCCAATTTCCTTCTTCACCTGGTCCACCAGTGAGCTCATCATCTGGGAAAACTTGGGCTGTTCCGGCTCGTGTGTGTATACTCCCTCCGGTGGGGTGGGGGCCTGGTCTTCGGCGGGGTTGCTTGCGAACTCCATAATCGTCGTGAAAATGAACTCATCGGGGGAAGCAGATGAGTCTTCGTGCTTCTTGAGAGACTCTAGAAGCCTGTCGATGCGCGACAGCAATCCATCATTGATAATGCGCTCGTACTTCAGGGTTTTGATTTCATGACGACGCTGCTCTCGTTGCTGGTGAATTTGGGCCTGCTTTGCTCGGATGAAAGAGCGCTTATCAACATTGGGATGAACTTCGACATCCGAGTCGTCGGACAGCTCCAACGCGTCCCATTTGCTGTAGTCAAGCACCATCTTGTCTGGCAGTGAATGTGTAGAGTAGGTATGAGGTGGGGTGGGTGTATCAGCGGCAGAGGAAATAGGTGGGAAACAAAAGGTTTTGAAGGTCCTGACACAAAATATTATGTAGCAAGTTGACCGGTATATTTTCGAAGCGATTCAACCCAGCGAAACCCAGAATAAATAAAGCTTCTGGCGCCAGAACAGACGAAGATCCAAAGCTCTCGACCGGCTTCCATGGGCGGTAAATTAAGGCAAAATCACGAGCGGTCGAATAAGGCAAATTCGGCCCCAAAAACCGCTTTGCCGATGGGCCGTGGGCGTCAGATGAAGCTCCAGACACATCCGCTCTTAATCCATCACACGTTCCAAGGAGCTGAATGTGTGCTATGTGATGTGCTCAACTTGAACATATTTCGTTCAGATATGGCATGTCGACGTTTTATTCGGTGACATCATTTTAACTCCATTCCGTTTCCATCCTTGTCCGATCCAACTCCGAGATGCGCGGTGCTAGGCTGCCTGTGTCTCTGGCCTTGGGTGTCAGCCCACGGCAGGCTTTGAGACCATATAGCTCCTTTACTCGCGATTTACTTCCCAAGACAAGATCGTCTATTATCTCTTCCGGCGACCACAATGGGTTGAACCGCCTCTATTCAACCGCCTCGGGTGCTGCACTCCGGGATAGTGCCAACCCACTCTTGCTTCAAAATAACAGCTTCAAATATACCTCTTCTACGTCTCCCATTGTCTCCCAAGCACGCCTTTTATGTTCAACTTCTCAACTTCTCCAAGCGAAACCACCCGCAACCTCCACAGATCCAACTACCCAGTCAGCTCCAGGATTGAAAGAAGAAGTGGAGGAGGACAAAGGCTTTGAATTGTCTGAGAGGGCAGCGCAGGCAGCACAGGTCAACATGAGCGCCAGATTGGCCAAGGAAGGCGCATCGGGAAAGAAGTCCGGATTCGCTGAAATCTGGCGGCTTTTGAAGATCGCGCGCCCCGAATCCAAGGCCCTCGGTTTCGCCTTCTTTTTCCTCCTAATCTCCTCGTCGATCACAATGGCAGTTCCCTTCTCTATTGGTAAAATCATGGATGCTGCGACCAAGGGCATAACCGAAGGAGGCGGCGAATTGTTCGGCATGAGCATGCCCATGTTCTACACTGCTCTCGGTGGAATCTTACTTCTCGGCGCCGGTGCGAACTATGGGCGCATCATCATTCTTCGAATTGTTGGTGAGCGAATTGTTGCCAGGCTGCGCTCCAAGCTTTTCCGTCAAACCTTCGTGCAGGATGCCGAGTTCTTTGATGCCAACCGGGTTGGTGATCTAATCTCGCGCCTTAGCTCCGACACTATAATTGTTGGCAAGAGTATCACGCAGAACTTATCCGATGGTCTACGAGCTGCTGTTAGCGGCGCAGCTGGGTTTAGTCTGATGGCTTATACTAGTGCAAAGCTGTCCACCATTTTGCTTGTGTTGCTTCCTCCAATTGGCCTCGGCGCTCTCTTTTACGGTCGAGCCATTAGGAACCTAAGTCGCAAAATCCAAAAGAACTTGGGATCGTTGACTAAGATTGCGGAAGAGCGCCTGGGCAACGTCAAGACTAGTCAGTCGTTTGCCGGTGAAGTTATCGAAGTTAACCGGTACAACAAGCAAGTCCGCAAGATCTTCGAGCTTGGTAAAAAAGAGTCTCTGATTAGCGCAACCTTCTTCAGCTCGGTGAGTCAGCAGACTTGATTCTTCCAGGCTTTCTTTTTGCGATTTTGACTGACTCGTTACTAGACTGGTTTGATGGGCAATATGACCATTTTGACCTTGCTATATGTTGGCGGCGGGATGGTTCAGTCGGGAGCTATTAGCATTGGACAATTGACTTCGTTCTTAATGTACACTGCTTACGCAGGCTCCAGCATGTTCGGCCTCTCCAGCTTCTATTCGGAGCTGATGAAAGGTGTGGGTGCAGCGAGTCGACTCTTTGAGTTGCAAGATCGTCAGCCCACGATCCACCCAACCAAGGGTCTCAAGGTTGAGACCGCGCGTGGACCCATTCGATTTGAGAATGTCACATTCTCCTACCCTACCCGTCCCGCTGTGAAGATATTCCGGGAATTGAACTTCGAGATCCCTCAAGGAACCAACGTTGCAATCGTTGGACCATCTGGTGGAGGCAAATCTACCATTGCATCCATTTTGCTCCGGTTCTACAGCCCCACTGAGGGCCGGGTCCTGATCAACGGGAAAGACATCAACGAAATGAACGCCAAGTCCCTTCGCAGAAAGATTGGCGTGGTTTCTCAGGAGCCAGTGCTTTTCTCTGGAACAATCGCTGACAACATCTCCTACGGCATGCCTCGGGCAACACGCTCAGAGATCATTGCTGCTGCACGCAAGGCCAACTGTCAATTCATCAGCGACTTCGTAAGTTCGCCGAGCAGCTATTATCTTCATGAACTTAGCTAACCTAATACAGCCTGATGGGCTTGATACTCACGTTGGAGCTCGTGGAGCTCAGTTGTCCGGTGGTCAGAAGCAGCGCATTGCCATTGCGCGTGCCCTTATCAAGGAGCCTGATATTCTGATTCTGGATGAAGCCACTTCCGCCCTCGACGCCGAATCCGAAACCCTCGTCAACAGTGCGTTGGCCGCTCTGCTTCGCGGTAATAATACGACAATTAGCATTGCCCATCGTCTTTCCACCATCAAGCGGTCCGACACGATCATTGTCCTCGGCCCCGACGGCAAGGTCGCCGAGCAGGGCTCCTACGATGAACTCAGCTCCCACCCCGATGGCGCCTTTACGAAGCTCATGGAATGGCAAATGAGTGGTGGCGAAACAACGCCACCTCCGGCCAAGACTATTGAGGCAGATCAGCTCTGGGAGCTCCAAGAGGAGTCAGAGCCTGAGCTGGAGGAAGAAGAGGTAGAAGAGGTGGAGGAGACAGCCTCTCAGAAGAAGGACTAATTGTACTCTAACCCCCGTTCACTCTTAGCCCTACCCTTACACTGCCATCCCATTACGATGTCTGTTCATTCTTGTTGATGTTTTTTTTTTCTGTTGAAATACATGTTCCCTCATCTACACTCACCTCTTACGGCCCTCTCTTCTCATATTCCCATACACATTCTGCATGTTAAAATTTCCGATAGATACTAAATCAACAATTACTGTATACAAATCTTGATATCAATACTATTGTTCGAGTACTACTTTTATTACCCGGTATTCGCTATTCGCTCACCTCTGTTCTGGCATGATATAGAGTTGAAAAAAAGTGATACTGAAAAACGTATTTATGCTTCGAACGAACGCGAGAATTAGTGAACGCTCAACAATTTACATAACAGCCCCTACTTAGGTATAACTAGAAGGGTACTCTGCGGTTTATGCTTTTGACCCCCTTTGTATACATCTAAAAAGAGTGTCCAAAAACACATCAGAGTGTTCTTATGTACAACGGTCCGTATATCACCTGAGCTAAATCAATCAGATTTATAGAGCCCTACGTGTCCAATGACAGAAGCGGTATTGGTCGCCAAATATTCTTGTTTTGAATGTACCTAGTATTCATTTAATTAAGCTTGCTACAAAAGGTATGTATGTCGTCAGTAGGTGAGATCGCCCGCCTGACAGGTCCCGGAGTCCCGTGCGGTCCCGCGACATACCTTGCTTAGTAACCAGCCATATGCCGACCTCAACAGCGTATTACAGCTTTACTATGATCTCATCCCCTATTTTACAGAATCTTTTACTTATACATAAGAAGTAGTGGTTGAACAGACGACCATGAACCGCATACGTAGTCTCGTCGCCCGTCCGGCAGCGTATGAGCGACTGCAGGACTCCACTACCGACGACGCCGATGAGACAACATACACGGAGCGACACCAGCAGGCTCGCTTTTCAAGATTACAGTATGGCATATTCTTCCTCCTCGGAGTGTCTATGCTGTGGGCCTGGTAAGTGGAACTCCACGGTCCCCCAACCCGGAGGAACAAGCTATATGTGTTGGTTCAACCATAACTAACGTGGAGCACAATTTAGGAACATGTTCCTTGCCGCGGCACCCTATTTCTACAGCCGGTTCCAGTCGGATGATTGGACCAGGCTACATTACCAACCGTCGATTCAGTCTATGTCAACTGTCACCAACCTCGGAGCCGCCTATGCCCTAGCAAAGCTCCAGAAGAACGCCTCCTATCCACGGCGTATAACGTTTTCGCTGTTGATGAACTCTGTTGTGTTCACCATTTTGGCCTTTTCGGCAGTTGTCATGACTGATTCCTCGCCGCGGGCGTACTTCGGCTTCCTGATGGTGATGGTGTGCGCTGCGAGTCTGGCCACTGGTATCAACCAGAATGGCGTCTTTGCATACGTCTCCGGGTTCGGAAGGGAGGAATATACCCAGGCTATTATGGGTGGACAAGGTGTTGCTGGTGTCTTGCCTTGCATTGTTCAGATCTTCTCTGTGCTGGCTGTGCCGCCGAAGGAGGATAGCATTAGCCCAGACCAAGGTCAAGATCAAGGCCCCAGCATGCCTCAGACGAGTACGTCGAAGTCGGCGTTTATTTACTTTCTTACGTCTACGGGTGTCTCCGTCATTGCTTTGCTGGCTTTCCTCTATCATTTGAGACAACAACCTTCTTCGAGGCAAAAGTTGTCAAGAGATGACGGGTCTATCGCGGATGACCGTGAACATTCTAAGACTGTCAGCCTGTGGACTTTGTTCGTTAAGCTGCGGTTCCTGGCATTCGCTGTGTTCGTCTGCTTTTTGGTTTCTATGGTGTTCCCAGTTTACACCGCGGAAATCCAGTCTGTCAACGACCCTGCCAGTTCACGGATCTACGATGCTAGTGTCTTTGTTCCCCTGGCGTTTTTAATCTGGAACTTGGGCGACTTGGCCGGGAGAATGTGTGTGGCTATTCCAGGAGTGTCCTTGGGACAGCATCCTCAGATGGCTGCCATTGTGGCCATTGCCCGTGTTATTTTCATTCCCATGTACCAGCTCTGCAACGTCAATGGCCAAGGTGCTGCCGTAAAGAGTGACATTTTCTATTTCCTTGTACAGTTCTTCTTTGGTGCAACTAATGGGTATCTGGGGACAAGCTGTATGATGGGCGCTAGTCACTGGGTTGTTGCTGATGAAAGACCTGCTGCTGGTGGATTTATGAGCCTGGTTCTTGTTGGTGGACTGGCTGCTGGAAGCTTGTTGAGTTTCTCTGTTGCCAGCGGTTGATTTTAGTGTCATATAATTTGTGTTCATCTAATAGACCCAAATATAACGAATGACGAGCCATCCAAATCCTTCCATTACTTGATATCGGCATGAGTACTCCTTTGTTTGGTGACCCATTGAGCCCTTTAATGTAGCGCCTGCTTTCCGTTTGAGTAGGAGCCCTAACTTGAGACTCCCAGTCAAAAGTTTGTCGGCTGTCTCCTTCACGTTTTCAACGGCTCTTAGTCGTAGTCAATGGGGACTCTGGAAAATCTTCTCCAAACAGTCCCCCACCATTCTACGTTCCCCAGTCAATTCCTACTGTAAGCCTGTTGTCTCAGCTCTACCGTTTGCCTACCCCAGTCCCCTCCTCAATCCCTTCATCTTTCACCTCTCTCCTCTTCCTTTTCCTTCTTCCCTCCTCATACAGTTCCCTCCTTCGATATTTTGTTTTCTCAGTTGTCTTTGGTAAGGGTAACATCTCTGAATGTCTTTAGTCGTATATCTTACTGTTTCTAGTTGTTCATGATGACTTTCGACTCATTGGCTATGGGCGGCTGGTGCCATGCCCCAGCTGTCCCTTCATTCTGGAGTCTACTGAGCGGACTCGTTTCATTGGTGAGTACTTATATACAAGAATACGTATTCAAGGAATCTGTGTCTCATATAAATCGAATACCACAGCTATCCGTTTACTATGTGGGCTGGATCATCCACACTCTCTGCTTCCACCCTCTGAGTGGTTACCCTGGACCCAAGCTGGCTGCCATCACTCCTTTGGTTCATCTCATCTGGGATATCCAGGGCAAACAACATTCGACCATCAAGCGTCTCCACGACAAGTACGGAGACGTCGTCCGCATTTCTCCGAATGCTCTTGTTTACCGTGCCGCACCCGCCTGGAAGGACATCTACGGTCACCGCAAGAAGGGACAGAAGGTCTTCGTCAAGGATCCGGCCTTGTATGCACCCACTCCCAACGGTGTCAACGCTATTATTACAGCCAATGAGGATGACCACTCCCGGATGCGCCGTTTGCTGACCCACGCCTTTTCCAATAAAGCCCTCCGTGAGCAGGAAGAGATCCTCCAGATGTACGCCAGCATGTTCATCGAAAAGCTCAAGGGTCTTATGGGCAGTACCGCGTCTCAGGACATTGACATCACTTGTTGGTTCAACTTCACCACCTTCGACCTCATTGGCGATCTCGCTTTCGGAGAACCCTTCGGCTGCTTGTCAACTAGCACATACCACTGGTGGGTTCGGATTATTTTGGATGCCGTCAAGGCAAGTGCCTATCTCAAGGTCTTTTGGTTCTACCCTTTCCTCGTGCCTTTGGTCCGCGTCCTGGTTCCCAAGCATCTTCTTCAGAAACGTCAAGCTAGCTTCGACCTGAGCGTCGAGAAGGTCCGTCGTCGTCTCGCCCTCGGTGCTACTCGTCCCGACTTCACTTCCTACATCCTCAAGCACACTAAGGATGGAAAGGGCATGTCGTCTGAGGAGATGGATGCAAACTCGGCCGTGTTCGTCTTGGCTGGCAGCGAGACTACCGCAGCCCTCCTCTCTGGTGTGACATACTACCTTCTGCGCTGCCATGACAAGTACGAGCGCTTGATCCGAGAGATCCGTGGTGCTTTTGACAAGGACGCTGACATTAAGCTGTCGACCCTCGTCGACCTTCCTTATCTGAACGCTGTGTTGACTGAGGCCATGCGCGTGTACCCGCCGATTCCGTCCATGCTTCCGCGCATTGTTCCCGAAGGCGGAGCAATGATCAACGACCAATACGTCCCTGGAAAGGTGAGTACAATATGGTAGTTCTAGATCCAATGTGTGTGTGTATTTGGTGGACAATATACGAAGTGCATGGAGCTCGTTTCAGAAAAGACAGTCCCACCTTCGCTATTCCTATCTCAACACAAAACACAAAACAAAATTTCGGTTTCAGAGCTCAATACTGACAACAGTTAAATAAAAACAGGTATCCGTCTCCATATCACTGTACTCCGCCTTCCACGCCGCCTCACACTTCAAGAACCCCGAGGTGTTCGTCCCAGAACGCTGGTTGGACGAGTCTGACGAGTACAGCAATGACAAGAAGGAGGCCTTCCAGCCCTATTCTTACGGTCCACGCAACTGTCTCGGTCAACAGTAAGCAAACATCCCACCACTACCTACTCACTCGACCCATATTTTCGCCTAAGCTATACCAGGCAATGTTTGCTAATATTTCATCTCCAGCCTTGCGAACGCCGAGATGCGTCTCCTGCTGGCTAAGCTCTTGTGGAACTTCGACATGGAGCTGCTCCCTGAGTCTCTGAACTGGGCTGACCAGAAGTCCTTCTCACTCTGGAGCCGTCCTGAGTTGATGGTGAAGCTCTTCCGCGCTGGTGCTGGCTCTGCACTCTAGGTGCATGATTTTAAGAAACGAACTGACGACATCTCTTTTTTTTTAACAACATCTAGTTGAGACAGATCGTTGTCTCGACTGTGGAAAAGCATGAGGCCGAAAAGCGTTTGTCGAAATCTTTGAAATAGCGTTTTCTTCCTTTTGTCTCTGGGGTTGCGGCTGGCCTGTTTGTTTCGTCCTCCCTGGGGATTTGAGTACATAACATATGGATGCATCTAGTCAACTAGGGCTATTGCCCTGAGTACAGAAGGTTGGGGTATTTGGAAACGGGGCATTTCCGCTAGAATAGAAAAAAAAAAGAATCAATACACATATCGGATAGTAATTTGGCCGGAAACCAATAGACGATGTATGATGGACGTGGCATGCTCTCGAGAAACAACTTAATTTGACTATTTCCATAATTAAGGTGAAAGTAGGTAGAGTAATGAAAAAGTGTAGAATGTCAGAATATTCTATATGCATGTCCCTTATGCAATGCTAGTAACCTATCCAAGGTAATGCACCTTTTGTTCAAACACCCAGCCCCAAAGGCACAATATGTAAACAAATGTTAACTCCTGACCATGCAAATCACAAAATTCATATAACTCCCTAGTGTGCTAATGCTTTCCGTATAAGAAGGGACCATCAGAAGAAGTCTTGTTCACCCAGCCATTGCGAATCCATCGCGTAGGCCACCAAATCCGCGGCGCAACACATGTCTTCATGCCCATGCTCCAAATCGAGAAGTTCGAGGACGGCTTTCAGCCTATTATCTAGTGTTTGCTTCAGCCGCGAGATACCAGCTTGAACATCTTTGGTCTGTCTCTCCTTGACGAGGGGCCCGGCCATATTTTGGTTTTTCCCTTCGGCTGCCTCCGATTTCGGTATCATCTTGTTGGGCGAGCAAGGCGTGAGAGCCTTTCGCTGTGGCTGTGCAGGCGATGCTTCAGGTTTGCGGTTCTTGAACAGACTTTGAAGTAGGAACAGTAACCAGACCAAATTGGTACGTGGGGAGTATTCTGCCCAGATGCCAGGAATGTCCGCCAGCTTCTCTGTTTCTATGGGACAACCAGTATAGAGTGTTGCGCGCATACTGATTTTCAATGTTAGCAATTTTCTTAAGAAGCCGAATGAGCAGACATGGGGTAACATACTATCGGTAGGTGTTTCTTTGCATGATTTCGTCTTCGTCTTGGCCAATAGCATCGAACAATTGCTTCTTGTCTAGATCTGAGGACGCAACCTCGGTGAGACCGGCGGGATCATCCGTCAGGAGTAGATCCGCCCGAGAGAGCGAGTAGTCGATGATGGTGGTTTCAAGGGAGCTGATTCCAAATCCACTGGAGGATGGCTGTCGTGCAACATCGTGTTCTGTTGGGGGATCCATGCAACCATCTGCCCGCGTAGAACGTATACAAACATTTCCCAAATGAAGATCTCGATGTTCGAACATAGCATACTCCTCTGCCCGAGCTAAAGCCATGGCAACTCCCCAGAAGATATCGTAGATCTGAAAAATCGATGACCAAGCAAATTTCTCCAGTTCACATCCCGCATCGTCCATCTCCACAATTGCCCAAAGCTGCGTATCGGGGTAAGCTCTTTTGTTGGACGGGTTGGGATTCATGCAGTCGTCTTTGGTCTTCTTATAGTGGTCCCATGCATTTTGGAATGCCTCTGGGAAACGACCTTGAACAACATGAATCTCTCTGAAGCGAGCAAAGCCAGGGATTGGATCCAGGTACTTGAGCATCTTGACCTCAGCAACAATTTCATCAATGGTTGTGAACTTTTTGGACCCGGGACCGCTCTTTGCTCGCAGAGGCACAATCTTGAAAACTCCATCGCCGTATGATTTTAGTTTAGCCAACTTTGATTTTGACACAACTGCCCTACAAGCTTCTTCCCGTAGGTGAAGTTTGTAAACTTCACCGTAGGACCCCTCTGCGAGTTTTGCGACATCGAACATGCTTGCTGATCGTGAAGCCCATGAGCCGAACTTCTGAATGCCTTGCGCGGCAATTGGAGATAATGCCTCATTCAGAATTGGGCCGACGTAATCGCTAGCTTTGGTGTCATGGACAACCCCAGACGACCGTCTGGGTGCAGAAATCTTCTTTTTTTCCGCTTTCTTTTTGTTGGAGGATGTACTTGGTTTTTCTCGATCCTCGCTTGTGGACTCTGACTTCCTAGCTGGGGAGTCTGATGTGATTTGGGGGGGCTGTTCTGGAGCCTTCGGACATATTCCGACTTCCGCCATCGTTTCGCATTGCTTCGATTTTGGCTTCGCCTCCTCCGGGAAGGATTCGACAGAGGATTGCGTTGTCGGGGTGCCCGAATTGTCCTCTACCGTGGATGAACTGGATTCATCAGAGGGGATTTCGGCCCACTCTGGATGCTTGATTTCAATTTTCGTGGGCTGTGCATGGCTGTCCAGTTGATGGGTCGAGTCATCATCGATTGTTACTTGGGCTAGTTTCGCTTGGAGGCTTTCCACGGGGCCAACATGCTGGGTTTTGGATCTGGTCTCTCTGGCCGGGCTTCCTTGGTCAAAAACTGCCCTAGGGGCATTGGCTTTTCGTTTCCCGTACACTCTGCGCTGAGCCACCGACTTGGGCTTGGATTGTTTGGGCTCCATTGGTGTCGCGTGACTTGAAACTGGCGAGAGTGACCGGGTTGACATTGTCGGGGGAGATTTATACACCCAGTATATTAATCCGGGGTGTGGAATGCCTGTGTTAGGGGGGTTAGGATGTTTCTGTTCGACAGCATGAGGTCGAGAAAGATGATCTGGGCCCGAAGTGATGGATCGTGTTGACATTTAGCCTAATCGGGCTTAGCGTAGGGTTGCTGCGGTGAAAACATTCTGCCTTTGGCCTCTGGACTTTTATATTGGACTGTCGTATACTTGAACGGATATTGTTTTGAGTTGTGGACTATTAAATATATAGGAAATCTTTGGGGTATGTTTAGGACCAAGGTACATGTCCGGGGAAAGGGTATATGGATATATACCACGGTAATCCTAGAGTACATATATCTACGGTAGGTATGGCGGTTTTCATACAAGGGATAGAATTCTTATTTTCATTCCATTGCTTATTGAGACACTGGCTTTCTCTCAGAGTCTTTCCCTTACATCATACATAAAACGAACGTGGGACTCAGACCTTTAAAGATCTGCACCCCCGTGGCTGTTTCTGTACATAGTAAATAAATAGTAAAACACCTTTAATTTCAGAAACATATCCCGTGTTTTCCCCCTTTTCTCCAGATTTCTAAAACGGCCATGAAATAGTCCATAGCCCAAGAGGTCTAGATACATGCAAGCCGGATAACCCTGAACGATGAATGGCTCAGTGCCATCCGCAGTGGACATCAAGCCGGGGCTGACCGGAAGTGGCTCCTGCAAGTCACATCGTGACGTACCGGGTATCCCTATGACACCTGTCGAAGGAATGCACAATATCAACAAGAAAAAGAAAAGAAAAAGAAAAAGAAAAGATATAGAACCAATAGAATTATAGCTTCAATTAGAAAAACGGCCGACTAATGAAATAAGAAAAAAAAAAAGCAGAGAAAAACAGAAAAGTTCAGTGACTCGGAAGCACGCGCCCTCGGGTGTGTGCTTTGCTAACTTTTTTTTCCCTTTTTTCCGCCTCCCGCCTCTCTCCCTCTTCTCTCCTTGACCATCCCATCTAAATGTCCTTGTAATTTATTTTCTTTAATACTCTTCTCGATGCTTGGGCATGGCGTTCAACTTCAACTGGTCGCCTTTGATGGCAGACGCGAGTTTTTATACTCGCGCCCAAGATCTGCTCACTGCCGCCCTTAATAAATCGCCGAAACCCCCCATAATAGTCGACGATATTCACGTCACCGAGTTGAACCTAGGATCCATCCCCCCCGAACTAGAGATTCTGGAAATCGGTGACTTGGCTGAAGATCGCTTCCGAGGCATCTTCAAGATGTCTTATACTGGCGACGCCTTTCTCACCTTGAAGACTCGAGTTCAGGCGAATCCACTCAATACTTTCCTCCTCACACGACCAACTTTCGGCTCGCCAGTACCTCTTGCTGCAGCGTATGTTTTCAGCCTCGCTTATCTTTCCTTCGACTTCAGCGTCTCAAATATTTTTGCTGACACTGTCGCGATTCTAGTACCCCGCTCACTATACCTCTACAAATCACACTCTCCGACTTCAAACTCTCTGGATTCGTTATACTGGTTTTTTCGAAACAAAAAGGAATCACAGTTGTGTTCCGTAATGATCCGCTTGAGTCGCTCAAGGTATCCTCGACCTTCGATTCGATCCCGTTCGTGCGCGACTTTCTACAAAAAGAAATCGAAGCTCAACTCCGGATATTGTTCATGGACGAGCTCCCTGCCATCATTCATCGGCTTTCGCTCCGGTTATGGGTTCCAGAATATCGCACAGGGGAGGAAATGAACGACGAGACCGACAACACAGCCAAGTCAAGAAGCGAAGGCCCTGGCCAAGACCCTCTAGCTAGCCCGCCACAGGATCCCGTCGATTCCCTCGGAAATGCATTGAATGAGTCCGAAATCGCATCGCTCTCTTTGGATTCATCGGTCGAGACCCACTCCCTCTTCTCGCAAAAGAACCTTCTTCGCTTGGCCGCCCTGACAGACTCACAACGTACCCTGTCCTTGTTCACTCCCTCGATCCAGGAAGTGGTGTACCGAGCATGGACTTCTCCAATCGATACTAGTGAATTCCCTTCGAGCGTGATCTCTCCACTGAGCCCGACCCTTTCGCGAACACACTCCCAGATGGGAAGTATGTCTTCCCTGCACGAAACCGCCAGCACTGTCTCCATGCAAAGTCGCCCCTCCGTGTCCAGCCATTCATTCAGCACGAGTACCTATGGTCTGAGTCTAGGCGCTGGACGTCATTCCAAAGCCCACGCCCGGAAACGCAAGAAGCGTGTTGTGGATCTGCGTCGCCCCAAGACAACCGATGACGCCATGAGCGTCAGCGATGAGAGCGTCGTGACTGAGTCGTCTAGACCCCCATCTATCGCCTCCGCGCCTCTTCCCATCGTGAACGAGCCGTCAGATGACCCAGTTACACCGCCGCTGTCGCCCGAAGCCGACTCCCACTTGCCCGTTATTCCCGAAAGGCATTTAACCAGCTTCTCCCGCCCGTCACGCCGGGATGGGGATTTATCATACTCCCATGAGACTATCCGTGGACCCAAAGCAGAGGACATGGAAGCCACTCCTCGTGCTACTGTGCGTGGTTATCCCCAGGAGAAGGCCGAGCCGGGACCGTCTGGTAATCAGCGACCTCCGTTGCCTGCAACTGTTCTTCCGTTCAGCAAAGACGAGAACGCCAATGAAAGCGTCGATTCTGTCCTAGTTGAGAGACTCGCCGGTGAAATCGCTCGTCGGATGCGCGAGGACAAGCTTATGACAAATGCATGCAGCGGCTTCTGGAGCCGTCAGCACGAAGACAGCCCTCCACCGGCGTATGGCCACTGAGCGCTTATATCTTTCCTACACTTGAGTAATCCTCGAGTATGACCGTTACGATTTCCTTACATTTTTTTCTTCCTTTCTTTTCCTCGCCGTTTCTTGATTCTTCTTTTGTTCTTCCTTTGTTTGGGCTAAACTGATGTTTCTTTGGAGCGGGATTGTAAAAAACTGGGTTCTGTCATGGTACAGTTGGCGTTAGGTTCTTGGGGGGGTTTCATTTTCACATGATACCACACTCGTTAGCCATTATTTTTTAATTTTTTTTTTTTAGTATTTCTTATTCTAGGGCGGGTTATGGGAGGTACCAAGAGAAGATCGGATGAATATTTGTGTTCAATTATATTTCTGTTCTTGTTCCCCATTCAATTGTTCCAATCGCATAAATCGCCTAAATCTCTCCGATGCGGGTCAAAAAGCTGGAGACAACGCTAGACCCGGGAGGAACTTAGCTCCGCACCGGGCACCGACCACCGCGCACTAGACATCTCTCGATTCCTTCCCACTCCTTTCCCTTCCATCCATATCATATCAACTCCAATATGGCGGGCATGTTCAAGAACGTGTTTGGCTCCCATGAGCCCAAGCCCGATGATGGTATGTTAATTGATATATCTCAATTGCTGAGCTGACTCTGGTAGACTTCGCCGACTTTGTGGAAGCTCCCAACCCGTCGCCTGCCTCCCTCCTCGCCGACTCGACCGTCGTCCCAGCTGGCAACACACTGGCCGCTAAGGCGGTCCCCTACACGGCTTGGTACCGGGTATGGGAGAGGACATCCCCGAGCGATTTCAAGCAGGAGGCCATGATCATGCCCGTGATCCTCTTGATTGTCCTCTTCCATCTCTGGGGAACGCGCAAGAACCGACGCAAGGCGAGGGACTGGGCGCAGGCCCACGGACCTTCTCTTCAGAAGGAGTTTTCCGTCGTTGGATTTGATGGAATCGCCCGACCGGCTCCCGTGGACGGGGAGGCGATCACCGTGGAGCTTGCCAACCCCGAGTCGCTGCTAAAGGAGAGGTCTGCCTCCGAGTTCGCCGCGTATGCGACTGGCCGCCAGAACGTTGCCTTCCTCGACGTCAACATCAAGATGCCCAAGCGATACAACCCCATCACCTTCGTCATGGAGTACGTCTTCAGCTTCTTCTTTGAGAGCTGGGAGCCCCCCGTTGAGAAATACGAAGCTCTGCTGTATGCCTTTGATGGCAAGGAGAAGGATCTTGTTCCCGTTCTCGCTAAGGATTCTGCTCCCGTTAAGGTGCCTAGCTCGACTTACGACGGCTTCATTTGGGCTGTTGTTCACAAGAGCCACATGCGCAAGTTCCGCAACGACCGCTACGATGCCTCCATCACTTTCTCCAAGGACAACCCCAAGCTCCCCTCGTGGGTCACCGTGATGACCGAGAGTGCCGAGATTAGCGATACCCTTCTCACCCCGGAGTTGATCCAGGCCATTGAACAGGCTGGTAATGACTTCGAGTACTTGATCGTCACGGACCAGCCCGTCGACAGACCCACTAAGTATGTAACCTCGGTGGGGGACTTTGATCGGATCAGTTGCTAACAAATGTGTTTTCCCAGGATTGAGGAGACCATCCCCAAGAAGCGCATCCAGCTCTCCGCTAACCTCGCCTCCTCCCCGTCCGGCTACGCCTCCACCCTCCCTCTGTTCAACCAGTTCCTGCGCTTGTCCGACAAGCTGGTCGCCTCTGCCCACTTCCGTGGCGAAGTCATGCGCAAGGTCCGTAACGTCCGCGAAGAGGAGATCAAGAAGCTGCGCCGCGTCGACGAGGAAGAGAAGGCCGAGGAGCGCCGCATTGCCGCCGAGAAGATCAAGAAGGATGAGCGTGAGCGCATCCTGCGTGGATTGAGTGCCGACGAGCAGCGCAAGTTCCTTGACCGTGAGGCTCAGAAGGAACAAAGACGCCAGGCGAAGAAGAGTACCCGGAAGGGTTAGATGGGGTGTCGTTGATCTGGAGGGTTTTTATTCTGTCTTCTCGCTCCTTTCTGTGGGAAAGGTGCGGGTTGAATGTTTTATCCTGCCCTTTTGATACCTTTTTTAATTTGATGTATTCATATTTATTTGTGGAAGGTATAATATATACCATGACACTGGGGATGCAATCTAAACGTTCAGCTATATTCAATACAGGTTTTATGTTCAGATAATTGAGGTTTATGTCTGATTCGAATCCCAGGAAGCAGCGAAGTAGAGATATCCTTGCTGCCTCACACCTGGCACCTGGCCAACAACTTTAACCTCACCCCATCACTCCAATCCAACATCAACATCAACATCAACAGTCATTCCAATTATCCTTATATACTCCGACCCGGTTCATTCATTCATCGAAATGCATTTCCTCGCCACCCTAATCCCATTCCTCCTTTCGGCTCTAACCCAATCCCAAGCCACTCCCACAGGAAACAGTATCAACACCAATACAACCACCAATACCCTCCAGCCCAAAGCCTCCAAATTACCATTCGGAGCCGTAATCACCCACTGTACCATCCCAGACACAATCGCTCTCACTTTCGACGATGGCCCGTACATCTACACTCCCCAGATACTAGATACACTCGCCCAACACGGCGTTAGAGCAACCTTCTTCCTCAACGGCCATAACAGAGGTCACATCGATGCCTCCCCTGAGGTAGTGCAGCGCATATTGGCAGAAGGACATCAGCTGGGGTCTCATACGTTCGTTGATACCACCCAATGACTTGCCCTCGCTTCCCTTCCCCAGCCCAGCCCAGTTTAAGCACCAACACAAACTGACTAAACAACTACCCAGATGGAACCACCCGTCCCTTGACACCCTTCTATATGAAGAAATCGTACGCCAAATGACAATCCTCGAAGAAGCCTTCATGCGCATCCTGGGCTTCTTCCCGACCTACATGCGCCCTCCGTTCCTCAGACATACACCCGTCGTTCTCGGCGCCATGGCTGATCTGGGATACCATGTTATTGGGGCTAGTGTTGATACGAAGGACTATGAAAATGATAATCCCGATACGAATTGGGTTAGTTTTGAGAAGTTCAAGAGGGAAGTTGATGCTGGTGGGACGATTGTGTTGGCGCATGATGCGCATCAGCATACAGTCGAGATTTTGGTGGATAATATGCTTGATGATGTTGAGAAGAGGGGGCTGAGTGGTATGCTTTTTTTTCTTTTCTTTTCTTTTCTTTGTGTTTGTTGGTGGTTACGTGATATGGCTAACAGATTTCCCTTATAGCTGTTACTGTTGGCGAGTGTCTTGGTGATCCGTATGAGTTTTGGTATCGTACTGGCAGGTAGATGGTTGGTGTTGGTGGCAGCTATGCTTCTATTTCCTGGTCGTTCCGGTTCATTGTTGTTTTTGGTCTTCGTACTTGGGCTAAGGGATGTCTGTGTATAGAACCCCTAAGTGTCTTTTGAACAGATGTGTTATTCTTGACGAAGACGTTCTGCAGACGTGCGCGCCTGGCCAATAGATATTGTACGAGAATCCTGCATATAACGCCCCTTATATCATTTAGAGCCAAAGATAATTGACATCGGTAGGTATGTAAGGCATACGGAACTAACTATGCAGATTCGCAGCCTGAATGGCTAGGAAGGCATTGTTAGATTTGCAATTCCTTGTTTAATTGTTTCTAATTAGACATGAAGTGTCCAGTCAGATTCCATGACAATGGAGACTTCTTGTACGGACCGGTGTGGATCTATCACCAACAACCTTCGATGATAGTATTGAACTGTGGGTAAGAAATCTATATTCTCTGCAAAATAAATATCCTTATACAACCAAACTGAGACTAACCCAATAGCCCATGGAATCCTGACAACAAGGCATATAGACATCCGTGTCAACAAATTGAATCTTGCATTGTCTTGATGTGATTAGGCTGGGGTTCATCAGTCTATCATTCGTCAGTAACTGACTCCCAGCATCGTTGCACAGAAATAACACGCAAAGGACCACCAACTTACAGATCCTTTTGGCATGTTATCTTGCTTTATTTGACCCAGGTGATTTTTTAATGCAGTCGAGTCTAGGGGCTCCATCAACTCAAACCTACAGAGGAGGTCCTCCGAAACGGACATGATAGCGCCCCAGTTATCGAACTCGCCGCAATACTGGGCAAGATTAGCAATAGCTTGAAAGGTTAGAAAAGCCAGTGCAACTTACATTCGGAGCTGAGAAGATGGTCACCAGGGTTCGGCCCTGGTAGAACTCAAACCCACCCTCGACCACCATGTGGGACCGGCACACCAAATCAAAGCCATGTCGGTCCGAAAAGTCGTTAATGACCTTTTTACAGAAACAGTAGCCCACGCCGCGTTCATTAGGCTCCCAGTCTTCTTCCATACCGCTTGCCGGATCACTCCACAGAAGATCGGTCAACAGCCCATAGTCGGGTATATCAGTAGGCCGAGCGATATCGCGAATATCGTCCATATGTAACAGACTAGGAGACAGCCCGCCATGAACGCAGAAGATCTTCCCGGATACTATCGCCGCGATAGGGAGGCAGTTGAAAGTGTCGATAAAATGCTTCCAGATATTGATATTATAACGCCACTTACACTCGTCATAGAAGCTAGACACTCTACAAACGCTTTCGCACTCGTAGTTGCCCCGAAGCAGGAAGATATTCTCCGGGTATTTGATTTTATAGCATAGGAGTAGGAGGATGGTTCTTAGGCTCTGCCTTCCTCGGCCTGAATAGTTGCCGAGGAAAAGATAGTTCGATTCCGGCGGAAATCCGCATTTTTGGAAGATTCGGATCATATCGGCATATTGACCGTGGATATCGCCGACGACCTTAATGGGGGCGGATACCTCTAAGAGAGTGGGCTCGGAAAGGAGGAGTTCACGAGCTAGTACGCAAATGGTGGTGATCTCAAAATTGTTAAGGCGCACCGTCTGGTCGAATTTGGTCAAACGTGCCGTATCTAGGAGCCGCGAGATTATGTCGTCTATTTCGATGGACTTGAGATTGTATGATTGCTTCTCCCTCTTGACCAAAATGGATTCAACTGCGACTTGAGAAGTTCCAGCAGGCGGCCCGTCACCAAGAGGGTCCTTCGGCACACGGTTTACCTCGCCACTCTGTTCTGTTGAATTCACAGCCTTTAGATCTTGACTCATACTGCTCGGCAGAAATGGCGATGGAGGGCTAGGGGTGCCTGGGGTGGAGGGCGTGCCGGACCATGAGGACTGGGGATTGCCAGCGTTTGAGACAGGTTTGGTTCCCACGGGCCTGACTGGGCCAACATCTGATCTGCTGGTCTGATTATCGGAGAGGACTGTGGGTTTTGCTGTTTTGGGAATGACTGCAGAAACCCGATTGAGATAACTTAATGTCTCCTTCATATTCTTGTGGATGTGCTGGATCTCCGTAAATCGATCGATACTGTCTATCCCTTCTTCGTCTTCACTTTCCTCATCCTGGGGGTTATTGGTTGGATTAGCCCCAGATATGGTATCATCGAGGTCGGCAAGCAACTCCTGGAAACTCTCTAGGAGTCTCACGGTCTGGCTATAGAGATGCGGCTCGCATGTGAGGCGGTAGATTAAGGACCCTGGACCATCTTGATGGTCTCCAATGGTCCTCACCCATACGTGAAATCGAGACAGCTCATCCCTCCATGATTCTAGTGGAACTTCATCCTCGTGTTTTGCAAGCGAGTTAGACGCGATGAGTCTGTTGAATTTGGAAAGAGATGCTTCCATCAATTTCCACGCTGTTGTACCGGAGAGGCTGATGGGCACACTGGGGCTGTTCAACGCACCGGGAATTTCGGAGCCAATCGAGCCGCGAATCGGACGTATAGTTCCTTCGGAGGTTGATTCAGAGAATGGGGGGTTTGGATTTGACGGGTCCTCTGAGCCAGCGTTGCCCCCTGGAGAATATTGCTGACCCATCACTTTAGGGCTGTGATATCTATCGAGCAAGCTCAAGATTCCCCCTCTTGTGATGTTCTTTGGGGCGATGCTCGTCTGCTTCCCTAGAATGTAACCTGCATTGCCAAGGTGGGTAGGACGTGAGCCTTTTGGGACTTAGAGGTACGCTTTGTGACCCGGATTCTATATGATAATGTGTTTTCTGACATTATCCATAGGGTATCTTGCGTTGTTCAGTTGCTAAGATAGGTACATGTACTTGCGCACTCACGTGCCCAGATGGGAGTAAGCGCGGGGTCAAACGGTGAACGTCTACGACAACTCTAATAACCCACTGTCTTTAGCTACAGACCGTCCTCCCTGAGGCGTGTAGATTTGGTCTATTTCAATCCCGCGCAATATCTACAGTTATGGCAAGCGGCATTGAAGTAGCAGGGTTGGCACTCGCTGTTCTTCCTCTCCTGGTTAATCAACTCGATGACTATGTGTTGGGGATAGAGAAGATCTGGCGCCTGAAGCGCTATCGCAGAGAGTTTGCTCATTATTCCACACTCTTCGGGGCACAACATGCAATTCTACTTAATACCCTGGAAGAAGTCCTCAGAGGCATCGTGACAAGTGAAAAAGCCGTGTCTGAACTCATCTGCAACCCGAAGGGCGAGGGCTGGAAGGACCCAGTCTTGCAGGACCAGCTTCGCGTCAGGCTAGGACGAAGCTACGATCCGTTTATGGGAATTATGACTTCCCTTTTTGACCTGCTAAACCATCTTTCCGTCAAGATGAGGATTGGTGTGTCGGATATAAAAGTAACGTATTATAAGCCAACTATACGATTTCACGATCGACTGACCCACTGTGCTAGACCAGCTCTCCATTTGAAGTAAAAGCAATGCTGAAGTATCTTCTTAAGGAGGCAATTTACAAAGATTTGCTTGCAAAGATTGATGAAACCAATGCGATATTGAAAACCTTGATTGAACAACCAAAACATCAGGGACAAACGCAGAAACTGCAACAACTTTGGAAATACCTGCTACCAAGGTATAAGATGACGCGAAAACATGCACAGGAACTATTCAAAGGAATTGTCGACGGTATCTATTGGAATTGTGGGTGTAAAGAACACCATTGTGTGCACTTCCAATTGCAGTCAAATCCCCTTCAAGTTGTGAATGAGCGATCAACTCTCACCGAGGTGTCCAAGTTTCGAATGAACTTTTCAAATACCGAAGAAGTCACGGACTCGTGGGGATGGACAGAAGTGGAATTTGAACGCTGGCCAATTGGAGAGATGCCTACTGCTCCGGTTATCCAAGACTTCTGCTCATCGCTTCGTGTCACTGCAGCACAGACCGAAACACGACAAATGATAGGTGTATTATCTTGTGAGCCTGGTTCGACAACTCAGTATGCAATCCATAAAATAAAAAGCATTCAACCACCTGTTCCAAAGCAATCACTGCAAAAGATGATGTCACATCTCTCCCGACGCGAGAGAATACGCATTGCCGCTGGCCTTGCCTGCGGTGTAATACAGCTCGGTGGTAACTGGCTAAAGCCTCGGTGGAATAGCTCAGATATCCACCTGGCGGTCAACAATGATCACAGAGCCTTACTCGATTTTTTCTTTCTTACGTGGTCCTTGTCCGCCCCTGTCTCTCATGAAGCAGGATCTTCCACAGCGAGAAGTGACATATTAGTGCCATTAGGGTGCGCCCTCGTCGAGCTGTCGACTGGGAAGTCTATTGGGGCTTTGCAATCGGCAGGTTCTGAAGATATAGATGAAGAAGTAACAAGGTTCGACACTGCATCGAGGCTCGTTGAAGCAGCATTACATGAGAGTGGCACAAATTATGCAGAAGCTGTCCACGGCTGTTTCTTTTGGTCAGATAGAGGTTCGCTGTGCACTGAGGATAACACTTTCCAAGACCGTGTATTTGATGAGATAGTCTCTCCTCTCCTACGAGATTTGGTCCATTTTGAAGGCTTGAGCTTTTGAATACCCTTTATACACGACCGAATGAAACTAAGACGTCCGCAGATAAACCAATTTTATTACTGGGATCTGCTCTACAAGGATTTGGCCAAGAATGTTAAAACGGCCTCCCAGGCTTTAGAGAAAGCGTGGCGTCCTTCAAGGGGTATCAAGGGGGTTTCCAAAGATTGGATGAAATGAAAAAAGGTGGGAAGAATTGATTTCGAACAGTATGATGGCGATATAACTATTTCTCCTCGATAGAACGCAATTGCCTTTGTCCTTGATTGGACAAAGGATTGCCACTTAGCCTCATTCAGGGCGTTTGATAAGTACATATCATATTTATATGAAGCATACGGTATAAGAAATAAGATAATCAAATATAAAAGTCATCTGACGTGACTGCCTTGAAATCAAGAGCCTAGGCCGCATCTTCCTTTCCACTCCACTCCATACGAAGATATCTTCTTGCGGCAGGTCCACATATTAATATCTTTTGTAGCATTTTGACATCAACTGGTCTATCAACAGAACTACTCCAATGCGCGTTGTATTGTCGCTAGCAATCATTCAAGACATGAAAACATATTTTAATCTAAGTTACCAAGGCCTTGTAGCTTCTTTGCAAGGAAACTTCTCTAATTCAATCTATACAAATGTATACTCCAATTCTTCCCTCATTTATATCTATATCAGACCTACAACTTCCCGAAAATCTTGACCCTCTCCTCAACAGGTTTCTGCACCTTCTCCCCAGCAGCGCCTTCAGGACTTCCAAAGACTAACTGAGCAACGTTCCGCCACTCACTGGGCAGACCCCACTGTTTCGCAACATCAGCATCAATGAGCGGGCTATAGTGCTGTAAGTTTGCGCCAAAGCCGAGCGCTTCCAGGCCGGTCCAGACTAGTGACAGTTAGAACGAGTGAAAAAGCGATACACGAAGAAAAAAAAAAAAAAAACATACGGAAGTACTGATGCATGGCATTAGAGTGATCCGCCCAGGGTTGGAAATTTTCCTTGTAGGTAGCGAACTTCTCCTGCATGGGTTTGATGTGTGCCGGGTCTTCGTAGAAGAGGATCTGGGCATTGATTAGCCATGGACAGGACTGGATACTTCATCTCCCAATGAAAGCTAAAACATCGAATCAAAAGTTCTGGAGCAAAGTACGTACCGTTCCATACGCTCCCTTAAAACCAAGCAACTTGGGCAATGTCTGCTTCTCCCAGATTTCCTGCGGGATCTTACCCGCCTTAACAAGACCCTCGAAGGCCTCGACAGCGATATCCCACAGTCGATCGTGCTGGTCGTGTAGGAGCACGACTAGCCGTGTAGACTGGGTATTGAACGCACTGGGGACATGCAGGATGGCGGCATTGACAAGCTCTTCGATCTTGGAATCTGGGACTGGGCTTTTCTTGCTCAGCTGGTAGATCGTGCGCCTGTTCTTGGCTAAATCGATTAGGGCGCTGGGCATGTTTGCTGCTGGAGTTGGGGCTTGTTTGCGGGTTGACGAGGAGAATGAGCGAGGTGTTGTTTGGTGAGATTGGGTTCTATATAGATGGGTTTGGCGGGTAGATACCAGACGTGTTGGACTAGTTCTGGACAGTGCTGCACGGGTTATGGCGTTTAGGGGAGATTGAATGAGGCGGGCTGTCATCTTGATGGCTTGGGTTAATTTATAGGTGATGGTTAGTGTGTGGATATCTCATTTATATAGACATGTATGCTCTTGCTTATGATTTAATTGCTAATCCGGTGGCTTATATTCCGTGCGCGGGAAGTCCAGGGGCAATTTTGGCCGACCATCGTGAGAGCGCGGAATTACGGATTTAATAATCATTCATCAGCAGTTGGGTTAATCAGCAATTGGTGAGATTAACAAATTGATTACTTTGTTAAATGATGTAGGAGTACTAGGAAGGAATAAAAATGTAAAAATTCAAAATGAATTATAATTCAAGCTATTCAGCAGCTATCTAACACATACGGAACTAAACCCGGAGTACCATATGCCTAAAAGAGTTCGGAAACATGTACCCCTGCCCCTGCACCATAGTATTCTTGAAATGTCAGATATTACAATTATATTCAAAAAGATCCAGCCATTTTCTGACAAGATACCTAGAGACTTCACTTGAGTTAGCAACATATATAAGACACAGATTGCAAAACACGAGGTAAGATTTGGCAGGCTCAGAAACCCGTCTTGAAACATATAAGGTATCAATATCACCATAAAAGGTAAGTAACGGATAGACTAGCATCATCGCGTGCCATCGAAAAAAGGAAAGAAAGAAAAGAAAAGAAAGGAAAGGAAAAGAAATGGAGAGACAGAATGGAAGTGTATCGCGTACCTGAGCTAGCCCCGCCCGGGAACGGGAACTATCACGGCACAATTATCCTGAACCTGATAGATGGTGATGTTGATGTTGATGTTGATGATGTTGATATTGATATATTGATATATGGAAATAATTGAATTCCCCAAGCTGTGTAGATGTGAGCAAATATCCTGTTATACTATTTTTCATATTGTCGATATTTCATGTTTTAAGAAGCCGCCCTATATCAAGAGATGATCTCGTAGACGAATTGGGCAAATCTAAAACATTTCCTGGGTTTCAGCGAGATTTGCGGGAATTCCCTAGAGGTTGTTGGGTTCAGGGTTATCCTTATTTTCCCCTGCTTTATACGTGTCATCTGTTTACGCGAGAGGGCAGGGCCGGCCCTATCCTGTTTTGCTTGTTTTCAGTCCAGGGAGAATCCACGATGTCGTCATTGATATGGAGACAGCCATTGTAAAAAGTGACCCAGTAAGGAGTACCAATCTTTTATGGAGAATATTAGCTAATTGGTCAAGTGTTCTGTGGTTCTACCAAGCAGTATCTTTTTATACTGAGTTGATGACTTCGGGTGTTCTAATTCTGTGTTGATGCCCATCTATAATGGGTTTTTTTTATAAATCCGGGCATCTCCCACCAACAATTACATCTCATTTAGATGGGGAGTATCCTCAAACCACTGTTATATGGCTACGAGATATTGGGTAATTTACTGTTAATGAAAATGCCCCTACTGAGTTGATATGGTCAATAATGCTTGGTTTCATCTGCAAAGTCGCCAATGTCTCCGAATTGAACTTCAATGTCATTATGTTATGTCACATCCTAATTCGTCACAACATACGGGGAGATGCCCACATGCAAGGCTGAGAACCAAGAAATGGAGTCGAAAGGAAACAAAAGTACCATAGGCAGCCATAAACGGGGTAAATAAGGAGCCTGTCGATCTGCCGGCGCTTGGTATGTGAAATGGAGCTCCGGAGTGGCCCGAATGTATAGAATAATGAATCCTACATGTATCCCGAGACATTATATATAGCACGTCAAGCATTAATGCGCCTATTCAAAAAAAAAAAGAGAGGCCGTGGTTATAGCGGGTATAGCGGGTGGCAGGGATTATTATATTGCTTCTTAACCCCGACAGTTTGACTATTGACTTATTTGTATTTTCTTGTTCAAAATACCGCAATTGGGACACGAAGAGTCTCTCTCAGTCGTCCCAACAACCATTTTCACACATTGGATGATTCAGATTGCATTGCATCCCACACCACCATGACACAGAACGATGAAGATCCCGAGTCTTCGTACGACCGACAATCTTCCCGCATTGAACCACCCCCTGATGGAGGAGTAAAGGCATGGACACAAGCCATAATGGGCCATCTAGTGGTGTTTAACACCTGGGGGTACATTGTCACCTTCGGCGTATTCCAGGAATACTACGAATCCAGACTTGGCGTTTCAGCATCGGCTATTTCATGGGTCGGATCTATACAAGTTTTCCTCATTTTCTTTATCGGGGCATTCTCCGGTCGGGCCCTAGACGCAGGCTTCTTCCACACTGTCTTTTATACCGGGGTCCTTCTGCAGCTCCTCGGGGTGTTCATGACTTCACTCTCGACACGCTATTGGCAGCTATTCCTCGCCCAGGGTGTCTGTACAGGCCTTGGCAGTGGTCTACAGTTCTGCCCCGTGATGGGGCTGGTGGCTACCTACTTCTCTGAGCGGAGGGTGTTTGCCCTGGCATTTTGTCTGGTTGGGAGTGGAACTGGAGGCATGCTTCTTCCTGGTTTGGTGAAAGCTCTCTTGCCGTCGATCGGATTCGGTTGGACGGTTAGGGTGTTGGGGTTTGTCATGCTCGCTACGAGTATCCCTGCTATTCTGCTGTTGCAGCCTCGACTACCCCCGCGCAAGGCTGGCGCCCTCATTGAATGGCAGGCGTTCAAGGAACCTACCTACGTGCTTTTTTGTCTGGGCATGTTTCTGAATTTCTGGGCTTTATACTTCGCCTTCTATTACATTGGTGCATTTGCTCGCAACATTCTCGGCATGTCCTATTCGGACTCGGGCAATTTGATCATTGTAACCAATGGAGCAGGGATCATCGGTCGCCTTATCCCGGCCTATTTGGCCGATCTCAAATATGGACCACTCAACACCATCATTCCCCTGACCTTTGCTGCTAGTGTGATGATGTTCTGCTGGGCTGCCGTCCATTCAGTTGCCGGCCTGTACGTATTTGCCGTGCTCTACGGCTTGTTTTCCAATGGGGTGCAGGGCCTCTGGCCATCAACACTCTCCAGTCTTACGCCCGACCTACGCAAAACCGGAGTCCGCATCGGCATGGGCTTTACGATTGTGAGTTTCGCCTGTCTGACGGGCCCACCCCTCGGTGGAGCTCTCATTGCTAGAGCCGACAGCTACATTGGAGCACAGATCTGGGGCGGGTTATCCTTTTTGCTGGGTGCGTTGGTTCTGGTGGCTGCGCGTGTGAAGAAAACAGGACCAAAAATGAGGGCCAAGGTCTGATCGAGTTGCCTCCATCAATCCTAAGATTATCTGACAATCTGTTCTTCGTGAAAACTGTGCCCTATCTCTTCGAAGATTACTCAATCTTCACTCGGGTACACTGACCTGACGGCTTATCGCGGCATCATGATAACCGTCCGAGCTATGAAGGGAAAAGAAACACACTTTGGATATTCGCTCCATGACATCTATGAGAAATAGGTCGTGGAAGACATGATTGATATGATTGATGTCCGAACACATCCCATCGACTATTTATGATGAGTGTTGGGAGGTTACGTGACCTATCAAAAGAGAAAGTGTCTGTGGCTATAGGTCCCAGATGAGTTCAAACATAGTTGGACACTCTGCAGTTGATATTAGTCAACTTGATAATCCAAGAGGGAAAAAACAAGAAAGGCTCACTCAATAAGATTTCCATCAGGATCTCTCACGTATACACTGCGAATCTTCCCAGCGGCCCCGGTTCTTTCCACAACCTTGGCGCCTTCTAGGACCTGTTGAGATCAGTCTCTATCTGCACCATTTGCAAGAAAAAGAAAAAGAAAAAAAAGGAAGTGTACTTCAACTCTGGCATCCTGAAATGCTTCCAGGACTTTTTCCACGTTCTCGTCTGTCAAAAAGCACAAGTCGGCACTTCCTGGCATAACATCCTGAGCTTTAGGTTCGAATTCCTTGCCCGATTGGTGGAGGTTTATTTTCTGGGATCCAAAGATAAGAGCATGTCTATTACCGTCAATAGCTTTTAAACATCCGCTAAGAAAAAGAGGGGTTACCTCTGAATGGATTGGTTAGTTGGTGAGGTAAAGATCTCGTGTCGCATTCCGAGATAGGTTGTATAGAATGCCACAGTTTTGGGGATGTTGCGGACTGTCAGGACCAGATGGTCCAGAGATTTGACTGTGAATTTCCCAGCCATAATTGTGTAGCCAGTACGAAGTACGGAGTATGGAGATGTGATGATGTTACGAGATGGTTGCCTAACTGAGATGCCTTAGGGACCCCCGCGGGGGCCGTGAATTCTGACTCATCAAATATTGGGGACGTACTTTATTACACCCGAGGTCATTTTCTATGTTGTATACTTTTCAAATGATTGAAGTATAGCGCTCTAAATATCGGTCTAAATCTTGGGAGATTAACTTTTGAGAGGGGTATAAAAGGTGGCTGGATCGATGCTATCAATCAAAATACACCATTCAAGACAGAATGCAGCCACAAGTCATCACATCACTTACCCCGCCGAAGCCCCGAGGGGGATAGCTTCATGTATATTCCTTGGCATGATGTGGCTCGGCAAGTAGTGAGATCATCGGGCATTGGACAAGATAAATACCGCAACAAGGATAAGTAGCGCAAGATACATACCCATGCAACCCAACCCTGGAGGTATAATAAGGAGTCACCCCATAATCCCAGCGCGTTGAATCAACACGGCCACACCAACAACCATGTCCTACGCCTCCTACTCCAACGCCAGACTATCCCACTCATACACCTCCAAGCCTCGCAAAACCCTTCGATCACCAGACCGCGAAATCGCCTTCCGTAACCAGTACATAGCGCGCGCAAAGACAACCCTCGTGCTCAGACCATTCGGCAGCCCCCACTCCGCTGTCGCATATAAGATCACCGAAGAAGATGGCACGCCACAGTTTACGGTGACCGGTCGCAAATACACCGATCGCTCGTGTCGGGAGTTCCGCGATGAGTCGGGTCTGCCGCTCTTCGAGCTGCATCGCAAATGGTCGTGGACGAATAGTTGGTCGGTTAGCTTGCCTGGGTGTGATACTGCGAAAATAGCTACTGGCGCTCCGCGATGGACGCTGGGGACTACTTCGTTTGGGAATTTTGATCTTTCGTTTGAGAATGCGGCTGCTTTCGGGGGGAAGCGCGGAGATGAGAAAATGCTTACTTTGAATATTGAACGACATGGGAATGCGCTGGCGCTTTTTGATATTGTTGATGGGGATAGGAAGGTTGCTGAAGTCCGGGAGAGTATTCATCATAATGAGAAATTGGCTTTGATGAGAGGCTCTAGGCAGGGGTATCGACCTGCTATGGATGTCATTATAATGCCCGGCGTGGATATTTCGTTGGTGAATATTCGAGTCTAGAGTTTTTGGTGTGTATAGATTGACTAACATTTGTATAGGTTGCGACTATTGCTGTTATTGTATCCGACTGGGTTTTTGGTTCGAGTTGATTAAGTTCTTTGTTCATTTCTTTTGACGGTATAATCAAGCAAGTCAAGCAAATGCCAAGGTGTTTCTGGTTCTTGTCTCGGGCTTGGCGGGTACCTGAGAATCTCATCTTCTCTACCAACTTCATTTTAGCCCTTTTTGGCACATTCCATTGCTTTGTGCAAACAAACTCATGCCTGCTACATGCTATAAATGAATGAATCCTCCTTCATGAACCTTCCCGCTACTATACTGTTACACCGCTGTCTACAATACACATATATTATAAGCACTATCCATAATGGCTGTTGATTAGCTACCAGAATCCCTACAAGTCCCTCGTTCTTTTATATAATCTGCAAAAGTGAACTTAACCTAGCCTTGGAACTCATCTTCTATCACCATGTTCATCCTGATAGTCGGCACTACGATATCGAACAGCTGTCCTGTCTTGGCCTGACTGCAGTGAATGGCGGCCTCGTGGCAAAGTTGGAAGCGTTATTCTGACCAGTTAAGCAGTAGACGAGTTCAGAAAGTCGAGTAAGATAGGCTGCATAGCCCTCAGAAAACGGAATCCCTTGCAAGATAGTTTTGGGGTTATTATATAAGCCCTGGGGGGTATAATAGACTCATAACCAAGCCTTCAAGACAGACGATCCAGTTGTTTTCACTCAAACAGGTCACCAATTAAGCTGAGTGCGGGGAGATAGTCCCGAGGTTTTTTGTCTTCCACTTTTCCTCTTTGTTCATAGCTTGGCATGTATGAGTCTTTCCCCCTTTGGATTCATGCCCCATTGGGTCTTCATTTTCAGTGTTTTAAACCCTGTTCAGCTCAGACCCTAGTAATCAGCTTGTGCCTCGAACAGTCGATAATAATCCCGGCATCCCCACTCGAGTATTAATGTCTTACTCGAATTGGTCGGCTGAAAAGGTCCTGGGCTTAGCTGCGCGCGGCGCTGGGACAAAAGTCTGTACAACGCAACACTCTCCGCAGAAATATGACAGCTAACTCTGGCAAGGATAAAATAACCCCACAACACAAAAAGACCAGCACATCCGGTGAAGGGATTCGAGGAAATTGCCCCTTGACTTTAGTCCTTTCCTTTCCTTAGACCACATTTGCTCGAAGACTCGTACTTTGCCTGACTATCGAAACTCTCGATTGACACTATGTTCAATTTCCTAAGTGCTCCAATCATCACGTCTTTGCTGGGTGTTGTGATCGGCTCTTTAGTCCTTTACTACCTTCAAACAAAGCTCTCGGAGCGAGTCATAAACAACTTCCAAGCCAGCCAGACATGGATCCCAGAGAATGAGCTAGTCCTCTTGACCGGCGGTAGTGGTGGCATCGGCAAACAAATAATGGAAGATCTTTCTCGCAAGAAAGTACGCGTTGTGATTCTCGATATCAACCAGCCTACCTTTGAGCTTCCAGAAAACGTCACATTCTATCAAACAGACATAACATCGGCCGAATCTCTTTCCGAAACGGGCGCTGCTATTAGAAAGTCAGACGGAGAGCCGACTGTCATCGTGAATAATGCCGCTGTTTTCCACCACGGAACCATTCTCGAAAAGCCAGTGGAGAAATTGCGTCAGACATTCGAAGTCAACACCGTCTCTCATTTCCTCATCATGAAAGAATTCCTTCCGTTCATGATCCGTATGAACCATGGCCATGTCCTTACAATAGCGAGCATTGCGAGCTTTGTTACTGTAGGCGATATGGTGGACTATGCTTGTTCCAAAGCTAGCGCTCTTGCATTCCAGGAAGGCCTTCGGCAAGAGTTGAAATATTGGTACAAGGCTCCGAATGTGCGAACGAGGTTAGTATGGAAAAGCCTTGCTTCGAAAGGAGATCATGCTGACAATACCTAGTACCGTTCACCCTATGTGGGTTCGGACTCCCATGATCGAGGGCTTCACTAAATATCAAGCTGATTTCCGTCAACCACTCCTGGATGCAAAGGACGTCTCTCGGGTAGTGGTGGAACATATTATTACTCGGAAAAGTGGTCAGACCACCGTGCCTAGACATTCCTCGGTGATTGGGTCGCTCAGAGCCTTCCCACTGTGGCTACAAGAGGCAATGCGATCATACATGTCGAGGATTGTCCTCCGAGTGGGAATTAAGCGAGCTGCTGATAAAAATCATAGTTCGCCTGTTCCTTAATCTGATATTGCCGTCGAGGAAACGTCGAACATAAGCTTCAAAGTTGTGTTCATTGAAAATGGTCAGGGGATGAAAGGATGAATTATGGGTAAAGAGTTGGAGAGTCAGATCTAAGACAGCGTTTTCTGTTAGCTCCTTTAATGGGCTGCTTTTAATTCTGAAAATTCAAACCCGAAAATCAGGACGCTGTCTGAACAATTCCAAAAGAGGCAAAAACAACCTTCTCCCCTCGAACCCGTCACCAGCCTTCATCTCCTCCTCCCCGTACATCCGCAACTCATCCCACGAAATCCATTCCCACCCCTCGCACTTCTCCGGCTCAAGTATCTATCAACAAGTAAGCTACGTATCCCGGTTCTGTTCCTGTAGGGTAAGCAGCCACGATATGGCATGTGCAATGAAAGATGTCACGAAAAAAAAAAAAGCAAGTTCGCATAAACACATAGAACATAAAACACGTAAAAAGCAAATATCAATCATACCTGAGGATCAATACCCTCCTCACAGACACCACCCATGAAAATGGTAATGTAGTGCTTATTTTCCTCCTTCATGATTGAATTCGTGGCATTTAAAAATCGCACATCCTCGATCTTCAGACCTGTTTCTTCGAGGGTCTCACGGGCCGCACAGGTCTCAAAGGATTCACCGAACTCGAGGTGTCCACCTGGTAATCCCCATGTGCCTTTAGGAACGGTAAGCTTTGCTCATAATTCCTTATGATTGCATGTCTGTTGCATATGTGGAAATGTGTTGCATATGTGGAAATGTCCCGGGTATTGGATACACGTACCGGCGCCAAGACTACCCTTTCGCTTGCCGATGACGAATTTGCCTGTAGCATTGAAAATGAAGACGCCGACTCCGACTTTGGGGTCCATTTTATGTACAAAGTAAGGGTGTTTGGGGTGTTTGGGGGAGAAGAAGTTGTCTGAGTCATTCTGCGCTTATCGGGAAGTGGGGAGATTATCTCCTGGGTCTTCCAGGGGTAATATCCTGCGCTCGAGATGGCATCATAGGTTTTACTACTGTACTACGTAGATGATATAATTTAAGATGCGTCATGTACAAGAAGGGTCAGCCGCTTATGTGATGTCTATGTCTCTTTTGATAGTCTGCTTTTTGAGTTTCATAGATATACCGAAAAGGGCTACAGATATCGTAAATGCCTCAGGTACTTGATTCTCTGTACGCCCATCTCAAGTGCTACAGTGTGACCGACGTCAATCACATCCTGAAACGCACCTGATCTGCTTCACGTACCAAGTACATACATGGGTATTACCTGCGCTTAAATATGCAGTAACTCAAGGGGCATAAAGAAAAGTACATACTTAAACCAGGAATGATCTCCAATCTATGCCTGTTCCTGCATAAGAAATATCGAACTATAAGAATCCCGTCACACAAAAACAAAAGTTATAACCTATCACAGCCTCTTTAAGCCCTTGATATATCAGAGCTGAGGCTGATCTTCAATGATCTTCATCTAGTTCTCGCTTCTATCATACAGTGATGTGATCTATACAAATCCGGTTGCCTCCTTGCTCTCTCTCTCTCCCATATCCATATTTATACTCTATCCCATACATTCCCAGCATATATTTTCCAACCAAACCCCAAACCCTCACTCGGCATTATCCTTTCCATAATTCAACCCCCACCAAAGCATCACTCCACAAACCAACCAAAATGCAATTCAACATCCTCCTCACCCTGTCCGCCCTGATGGCTCTGAGCAGCAACGCCGCAGCTCAACCCCCTGTCCGCCTCAATGGCCTCGGTGCACCAAGCCAAGGGTTCCCATCTAGCCAAACTCCAGGCCCGTCCAGCACGCCAACTCCCACCCCAGTGAAGGGACTAGCCACGCCAACCCCATTCCCCTCTTCAACACCTGTCTTTTCCACCCTAGTACCACACATTGCTCCCTCCAAGACACCTAGCTCGTCCATCGGGGTACCGCACCCTAGCATCTCGCCTTTCTAAGGTACTTGGCTAGTGTACCTCGGTGCCGAACGCTAGCGCTAGCTCTGGTGGATCGGTGGATGCTTTCCACTAGGTACCGTGTCAAGTGGGGCTGTTTAGATGCATCCTCGATTTAGGGTTGAAAGCCCCTTCGACTGATATGAGAGGCTGAGGATATTGCTGTGTACGGATCGTCGGTTGATCCAATTGACGCACCGGTCTTGTGATGGCATCTTGAATGAAGAGTGAACGCAAAGTGAAGTGAATGGAGAATGAATGGAGAGTGAAGGAGGAAACGAGGTTAATGGTATAATTATATTCTGCTTGTGAATTTTTCGGTTGTGTTACGACGTTGTCAAGTAGATAATTATTAATTGCAATGTTTCATATTTGATATATGTTGTATGGTCATATCACCCTCATTTCGCCAGTAGCTAGCCATACTACCTGGTAGATCGAAAGTGAGCTCTGAGGCAGACTCAAATGCACTGGAATCGGCCTGTTTATCCAGAATCAGAAAATCGAATACGGTAGTGTCCCAGGTAAGGAACTATCTACTAAGAGATAATCACCGCTGACTCCATGATATCCAGAATCTCCTAATTTGTTTGTCTCTCACATAATTCACGTCCTATCAAAGTCCCATAAAATCCCCTCTCATTCCACGGAGACCTCCATCCTCTCTTCCCCTCACCATTGTTTCCCACCTTCTCCCTGGTGAGCTTTTCCTTGAGCCTTCAACATCTAATACTAACACCATACATCTAGCCCTGGGGATACCTTGGGATTACAGATTAGTCTTTCGGAATTTCCAGCTAACCCGCATTTCAAAAGGCCACGGGCATTGAGCACCCGCAGACAAGCAATCGAGCTGAGCTCCCCGCTGTTATTGCAGCTACCCGATATCGACACTAATTTAGTGAAGGATGTCGCTCTCTAGTCATTGCTACGGATTCGGAATACGTGGTGAGGGGCTGGACAATGCAAGCGGGAGCGCCGGTCAAAAATCAGGACCTTTGGCAGCGTTTACTCGGGGAGGTTGAACGGTGGGACGAGGAAGGAATACGCCTTGCATTCTGGCGTATTCCAAGAAAATTGAATACAAAGGCGGACCGGCATGCTAAAGAAGCTGCTGATAATGGTACGTCTCAAGGCTTTCGGGATATCGCCGGCATCCTTGTTTGAGAGGATCCGAGCACGGAGTTGCAGGATCTACCAGCCAGTAGATTCGAGACGCAAGACGCAGTGGTGGACTCTGCGTAAAGTAACCGTATTCCAGATCCCTAGATCCTACTCTTATATCAACAAGTCTCACCTTTTGTGTAAGTTTATTTAATGAAGCGTTTCTATCGTATGCCAGTTCCGGTCGAATAAGCCATAGCTCTACGGTAATCCATTTTATAGACTAGTGCTAGCTTGGAATAGCTTGGGGACTTTCTGGGTAGCGCTTACATGACTCCTGACCGATAACAGTTGAATGTTTTCTTTTTCAATATTTCATATTCGAAGAAACGTGCAGTCATTAAAGAATAATATCAAAAAGCCACCCTTGCCCAAAACCAAACCGTGAAACAAAACCCGCTCGAAAATAAATCATCAAGGTCAAAAATACTGTACAAGCCAGAGGAATCACGCCAATCACACGTAAGACATCCATCGTCTTATGCTGAAATAACCAAAAAAGAAAAGAAAGAAATTGCAATGCATCAAGAACACGAATCGCCATTCCAGGCGAGGTGGATATAGTCTCATACCAAATGAGACTGAGAGGATCTTCGCGGGCTATGCAAAGCGCAGTCGCCCGAATCTTGACTGATATTGCCTCCCCGATACCAGCCCTGGTCAATCAACCGTGTTTCGAGGTCTCGCCAGTATCCAGCTTTCCCGCCGGCGCCTGTCTTCAGATCGAGGTCGCCGAGGCGGATTTCAACAGGCGACTTTTCGTCATGTGGGATCTGCGAGGAGGTTAATATCCGATTAATCTTGACTAGCATAAACCCCGATGTTGCAGCATGAAACTCACCTTGATAAACATTGTACAGTCCCGCAGCGTCATCGCAAGTGACATCTCCCGAGACTGTGCCGACGGACCCTGCAGCCCGACATCCCTCTCAGTCTTCTGCAACGACTGCAGTCTCTGTAGTGTCGGGTTCCGATACAAAATTCGAGCCAGTCGCGATCGATCCTTGCACCCCTTGATCAGCCCCGTCGCTCGCAGCACATTCTCATACTGCTCCGACATCAGATCCAGCGGACAGAACGACCTCTGTTCTTTCAGGCCTTGGAGTTGCGACTCTCGGTTTTTCATCTCCCTCAACGCACACGTCCGACATCGATGTGCTGTCGCGGGCGCCGATGGCGACTGGTTGAGCCATTTGGGTTTCAGCTCGGCTAGGATGGCGCCCGGGTCTCCGGCCGTCGTCATGTCGGTAATGAGCAAGCCGAACTGCTCGTGTAGGCAGAGATAGCTGCCATGGCGTTTCTTGGGACGCGCGCCGTTTAGTTCGGCGGTGCGGAGTTGCTCGTTGCAGCTGGTGAGGAGACCCTCTGGGAGTCGGATGAGGGTTTGGTCGACTAGTTCTTCCGGATTGAATAACGGTCGGATAATGGTGTCGAAGTTGCGGGCAATCTCTGTGTAGGAGATGTCGGCCGCGGTTTCTTTGCGGAGTCGGAGTAGTTTTCCCTTGAGTTGGGTTGGTAGGTGGCAATGATCCGGGTCATGTGCAGGTGGAGATAGTGGCCTCTGGGGGTCTTTTTTGACGACTGGAACTCGTACGAATCGATAAATCACATTTGCTCCTCCCTCGGCAAGGTAGACGAGCTGAACCCCCGAGGGGAGTTCAAGTAGATTGAGTTTGGTCATCCGTTAGAGGGATGAGTGTTCTGGAAATCCAAGTTATCTGTGTGATCATGACGTGGCTGAACAATTCAGTTCTCCCCGCCACCGATGAGAATGTATTGAATGGAATGCAAAGTTGAACGGTTGAGAATGTAGAAACAATATCGTCTTGGGTGGACTATGCATATACCAGAGTGAGAGGCTCAAGATCCAAAGGGGCTAAACCGAGTTCAGCCGGATCACACTTCCAAGGCCGGGATATCCAATCAGTGTCGACGAAAGCGCAAGATTCAAGAAGAGCACAAGCTCTTGACGGATGAACCGAATGGAGAAGACTTCGAAAAAAGACGGAGAATCCGGACAAAGAAGCCCGACATTTAAAAACCGGGCAAGGGTTCAGTTGTGGGGACTTAGGAACCAGTGGCGTACCCCGGGGTCGATCATAAGTCAAAAGAGTTCGGAAAATGATAGTATAGGATTATAGGATTATAGAATCATGGAATCATGGAATCATGGAATCATAGGATCATAGAATCATAAAATGGAAGATCAAAAAGTTATATATTCGGAAATCCCTAGGATGAGAAAAAAAAAAAAGAAAGGCCCAAACCACATAGGCAATGGCGGTCAGCAAATCCTCTTAAATTGTAGAGATGCAGATTGCAGATGTGAGATGAACCTTGGAAAGAGGCTCGAGAGTCCATGTATAGAATGTATATGTGGTCAAGATGAGTAAAGATGAGTAAAGATGTCGTAAATGTCGATGTTCAGCCCTGCGGATATGGCGTGTCACACTGACCACATCCCTCATCTCATATCTCCCCGACATTCGACGTGATACTCTTTCTAATCTCCCCATCTCCCCATCTTCCCATATCCCGATATAAGACGAATATCCTCTTTTCCCCCTTTCACTATCCCAATCTGCAATATGGCCAACATTGCAACCCCCGCCCACTGCGTCGCTGATTTCTGTCTGGTCCCGGTAAGCAACCCGTGGACAAGTCACCTGCTTCCTACCACACTAACAGCATAAACCCAGATCGGCACCTCTTCACCCTCAGTCTCAGACCAAGTTGCCGACATCCAGCGGCTGGTTGAGACGTGCGGCCTGAAGTATGTCATGCATTCCGCAGGCACAACCCTCGGTACGTACGGTGTACCTATCTCAAGACTATAATACTATATAATATACTACACTACGTAGTATTATAGTATTATATAGTATCACATAGTATCATATAGTATTACCTCGGAAACCTCCACTGTTCTGTCTCCGGTTCCTATCTCTGTGGAACTCGTTCCTCTCATCTCCACCAACTGCGGGCTGTATCTGTCCATGCAGCTGAGATTGAAATCACAAGAAAAAGATAAGGAGAGAGCTGAGGGCTGATAGGCTGGTGTGACACTATATCTATATTTACTGACTTTTTTTTTTTTTTTTTGTAGAAGGATCTTGGGACCGGGTTCACCAGGTTATCGGACAGGCGCATACGATTCTTCATCAGAAGGGGATTGTTCGAATTCATACTGATATCCGGGTTGGAACGAGGTGAGTTTGCTATTTTTTTTTTGTTCTATGCCCCTTGCTTCCTATCTTGTGTAATCTATTTCTTGCTAATTGTCTATATTAGGACTGATAAAGTGCAGTCCTTTGAGGATAAGGTCACCAAGGTACAGCAGATATTGGGAAACAAGTAGAGTAGAATTTCTGAAAGTTCAACTCCAAAAGTCGAAAACACAGACACTTGATTTTGAATCATTCCATTCGTAGAAAACCATATGACTAGGTATTCTGGGGAATTCCATCCCATCCCCATTCTAATCCAAAACGCCTTGCCCTTGAATGCAAATACCCTATATCCCGGTACTATGCACCGTCCACCGTCCAGCCAGGGCACAGCCCCATACCGCAGGACTCAAAAGATATCCAAGAAATAACGTCCAAACGCTTCAAAAGTAAAAAAATAAAAAGCAAAACATGAGATACTAAGACCAACCCACTCTGTTTAGAAAGAAATCCCCCCACCGAGAAGATTCCCCCAGTTCCCACCAGTCCAAATCCAATTTCCCATCGACACCGACGTCCCCGACCTAGCCGATGACGCAAGTTCAACCAGCGCCTTGAACACATTACTCGTCGACGAGGCATCGCTAGTCGAAGATGCCGAAGTCGACACAGACTTACGGCCAACCGCATTGGTAACATTATTCAAGTTATCGACGGTATCAATCGCCGGACCGCGGTTGAAGAAATCCACCAAGATAAAAGTGGGCTGTCGTCCATTCCACGCCTTCTTGCAGGTTGTCGCCGCAGTGCCCAGGTTACCCGTTCCACCGGACGCGGCGTTCGTCGTGCTCACGTAGCTGGAGTTCGGGTACTCGACGTCCAGAATTGCGAGGTTGTTTGAGTACAGGAAGTGGTTCATCAATGGGAGAAGGTTGGCTGATAGTGCGGATGCACTGTTGCCTTTGTATGTTGACGGTCGGTCCACCTCGCATGTGAAGTTCGACGCGGAGGTCACGTCGTATGGATTCTCCCAGATGTAGCTCCATTCGGACATGAGGTAGGGGTAGCTGGTGCTGGTGTCTAGGGAGGCTACGAAGACGACGAGTCGCTTGCCGTCGTCGATCATGGTTTGGAGGGTTGGCCAGGTTGTTGGTGCGGTACCTTGAGTGGTAGGCTTGTAGGCGTAGTCGGTAATGTTGGCTGTTGTGAATTGGGTGTTAAGATCGGAGGCTGTGGCATCGTCGGAGTTGACTAGCAGGATTGTGACCACTATTTTGGGACGGACTGTTAGTATAGTGTCTTTCTAAACATCCTTGCGGAACTAACCCTCGTTTGGGTTGTCATCCAACCACGTCTTGATATCCGCCAGCCAATCACTCAGCAACCCCGCATCGAGCAGGTCGCAACTGGAATGACATAGACGCCATTGTGAGTTGCTCTTGTGGACTTGGGCTGTTACTAGCCGAACACCGGCTGATAGTTGCGTTGGAGTGTCGTAGTACTGGTTGGCGGCTAGCGAGTTGCCAGTATCACTATCGCGTACAAAGGGACTGTCGTGGGCGCCCAGGTGTGTAATTGCTCCATAGGACTTGGAGCAGAGATCAGGAGAGTTGTTGCATGCTGTCGTGCGCTTTTGGACCAAAGGGTTCGCAAGGACCACAGGCAATAATGCCAGGAAGTTGAATACTCGCATAGCTATAAACAAATGATGTACAAGGTGTAGCAATATACTCCTTTATCAAGATCAGATATAAATACGGAAAAGAAAAGGAGCACAGAGCTCAAATAAACAAAATGTTGACGAGGCCGCGTTGCCCTCTCAACTATTCTTAGATCCGGTGGATCGACAACTGCACTGCCATTGGCCTATTTATACCAACCTCTTGGATTTGTGACATAGCCCACCTGGGCAGTTCTAGGCATACAGAGTGCTCCGTAATTGTTAGCAATATACGAGTTAATAACATGAACTTTTATTGATCATTGACGATCAATGTCTCAACTGCGGGGGGAAAATATACGTGTACACTGATTCTCGATATGGGTATTATAATCAATTATTTACATATTTGTTAATATACATGGACTCATAGTCCTTTAAGCGACAAACGTATACCTGGGGCGCGTCGCTTCGTTCTGCTCGCTCGTGGCGGATTCACCAGCTGCTCCAAGTTCTGTTCCATCCCATCAAAGAGAGATCGATCGCCCCAGGCCTGGAACACATCGTTCAACACTTGCTGTAAAGGATACGGGTTCCGCCGCCGCAACATGCGGTTCATACGCCGCGCGGACAGAACATGGTGGCTGTAGAGCATAGCCAGCCGGTGGCGAACTGCCTGTGAGATCAATCGCTTGTCAAGACGCAGACCGGATTGTTCTAGCTCTCGGAGTAGAATAAGCCCCCGTACCCATGGAATGAGCTTTTCGTCCGTTTGGGAGTTAGGTGGGGCGATGGCAAATTTCGATGCAGTGGTGTCCAATACTCGAAACATGAAGCCCCAGGAGATGATGGCGGCTTGCATTTGTGGGTTAAAGACTAGGTCGAGCATCCGCCGATCGCGACCGTTGGCCTGCTTGAGGGGATCAAGAGATGGTTTGGGAGATGGAAAATCCGCCCAAGGCTTCGTCTTCTTCTTCTCAGGGCTTTCGGCGTATTGACGGACGAGCCACTGACAGCAATCTCGGAGTTTATCCCAGTCTGACCATGCATCCGCCATGCCGAGACGCTTAAGCATCTCAATCCAGAATGCAGCACTGACATATCCTCCCGCGGGAACCACGCGCTTTAGAATCTTGAAGATGAAGATCACTTCGTCGACGGCAGACAGGCGTTGACCCGGCGGCGGACGATGGTTCATTCGCCGGGGGGTGAGGATCTGCTCGGCCATGAAATCCACGCTGTCTTCGCCTAACGTCCGGCCACGGAGAGCTAGCTCGTCGGCGACCTTTGACGCCGCGCTCAATTCCCAGGCCGCGATATGCTTTCGAAAATGGATGTCGTAGAGGTCTGGTGCGCCCGGGTATAGTTCCGTCAATACCGCTAGAGTCATATTGTACAATCGCCAATCCCGGGCCATGTAGTAAGATACCAACATTGACTCCTGCATACGCTTGTCTTCGAGAGTGTCAGGATGCTGATCGCTGCGGAGGATATCGGAGAGAACGATGTCGCGGTTTTGGGTTGCAAGTTTTTGAACTAGGCTCGAGAAGACGGTGCTTCCTATAGAAATGCCGGACTGCTTAAGTATTTTAAGCTTATCCAGAAGATCTTGGTTGCCGTGAGCTCTCGTGGCTAATTCACGCAAAGTCCGGTGGCCGATCTCTGATACACCGAGCATCTTCAGCCCACCAACGATCATATCAAAATTAAGAGCACGAGTGGCAAACAGCTTGGCACCAATGTCATCTTTGAATGGTTTTTCGTCTTGCGACCCCTTCTCCTTGGACTTCGGTGCTGTATCTATTGGGCCAGGTTGATCAATCGAAGCTTCGGTATCAAACCGCTTTTTGACATAGCCACGGAGCCGATTGAACTCTTTCCGTAGCCCGAATTTCTCAACATATTCCAGCAATGGCTGTATCTCGTCGGGGCTCTGTGGGTGATCCTGACGTTGAGCAAGGAAGTGATGCATTGAGATCGCCGCCTCGCCATGGCCTTGTTGCATGAGCATTGCAATGACAGAACCATAAAAATTATGGTCGGGCGTAGTGGAACATATGGCTTGGAAAGCCTGCAGTCCCGGCGACAAAGACGACCGCTCGAGATCAACCAAAGTCGCGAATTCCGTGCCAGCCGGAAGAGACGAAGAACGAATCGCAGAAGGAAGGATTTTCAGCACATCATTTGCGCTGGCTAGATGGGAACTTTGAAGCTTCTTGTGCCATTCGACCGCACGTCTCATCAAGCCTTGCTCGAGAAGCCCACCCACCACGCGCTCATACAGCTGTGGCCATCGGCTGCCTTGTTGTTCCCGTATACTGACAGCATAGTCAAGAACCTCCTTTAGAAAAAGCTCCCGCCTCAATCCCATATCCACAAAACTCTCCCAAAAGAAGTCCGCTTGCTCTCCTGCAACCGGAAGCCGTACACCATCCACTCGAACCCTCAACCCTTCCCATATGTCTAGCGTGCCATTGTCACCGTAGTGCCGCTGGCGATATCGAAGAAGCTCTTCCCACAGATCAAAATTATTTTGATGTTCTGGATTATCCACTAATCGCGTTCCAATGTTGTTGAGGTGTCCGACATCCGATTCAAATTCAAGCTTGTCCGGTCGGAGAGACAGAAGTTTGGTAGGGCATTGTGTCGTGTTATTATTCGTTTGACCCTCTACGAGAGGCGTGGACTCAAGGGTATTTGGTTCGTTCGAGGCCTCGATGTCGTAGATGGGAAAGCTGAATGGCCGTTTCCCTCGGCATGAATCCTCTAGTTGATGCCGGGTCGGGTTATTGTCGGGTTCCTCGAGTGGTTCTTGTTTGGCGCTTCGCGAATGACATCGTAGACACCTGTACCTGGACTCCAGTTGCTCTATTCCGACCGGTGTTGCTGTGAGTGTGTCAAGGATCGAGACGGCGGACGGCCTCTTCAACAGTCGCAGAAGCGCCGGGCGCATGAGTGGTTAAGGAAGTAAGGTCGGGAAAGCAAATTCTCGACGTCAAACATCCTTCTTCAAGCTCCCGACGTCAATCCAAAAGCTTCGCTGCCGAATATTCAAAAGTTGATACGCGTATTGGGACTTTTCTGGCGCTTTTCCCTTTTGGGATGATGACCAGCTACAACGGCTGATTCGATCAGGTGATGCTCGGCACGTGATACGATATCCAGCTCATTCCGGGACCAACTTCACATCCCCATCTTGCCCACGTCGTACCTCACATCCCCGCTCCTTCTTCGCTTCCAACCGCGAAAATGTTCCGTGCTACTAGCTCCCGCATGGCTGGGTACGTCTTCCCTTCGAATCGCTCCATAAATCCTCCGCGCACAAACTTGATCTTCAGGGTGCGCCCATCGAATTTCCTCCCACAATCTTCGGGGTCCAATTGCGATTGATGCGGCTGCGGGGACCTGCTATCCCGCCATATTACTGCAAGATATACTGACTGGTTGGCTCCGTTTAGCTTCGTGTTCCGTGAGAACCGTGTGCCCTACTACCAGCGTCTCTTCCAGAACCACGATGGCAAGCGCCAATGG